TCCGGCGAATAATTTAAGAAGGTTTTCTCCTCTCTGCTTACGAGGTTATTTATCGTTCACGGAAATGGCCGAGTAGTTACGATTGTCTCTGCTGGTCGGAGTTCACGGAGACAGCCGAGCGTCTGGTTGAACGAGACTACCCCTTTTTGAAGTCATTTTATGCTAGAGTTGTTTCGTTCCGGAACTTCTGAACCAGAATATTGAAGTTCTTGTCTGAACACCTCTGAAATGATATATTTGCAAGAGTTTCCTTTGAAAAATAAATATGCATCCTTTCTTTTAAGTCAACAAAGGTTAATTCCCATATGGAAAAAGGGCAATTAAACAAACTACTATAATTAACAAACTACTAACAAAACACCGTGTTTTGAAAGTATTTTAATCAGCAAAGGTTAATTAATATTTCTTTGAATTCTTCAGTTGAAGTGAATAATAGGAATGGAGAAACTGATTGATTGATTGTATGTTGTTCAACATCCCTCTCAAGAAATTTTCACTCATATGGAGAATGCCACGTACCATGCACTTGCTCAAATCTTTTCCTATACAATGTATGAATTATTAAAGGAATAGAATTCAGGGCTCTTAAAACCACGTACTATATTTCTAAGCTTGCTTAAGCTCTCACTGACAACATGTACATTCTTTAGTCTATGACAGGACTTTTACCTGCAGAAGGTCCCATTTAGGTCAGATCAACAGCACCTTAAAATCAGACAATATAAAATATAGACCTATAATTATACGTAACATCTGACAGGAGACTATATTACTGGAATGGAAGTCAATGCTCTAATATATAAGCTAACCACTGAGAGACTAGCAAATATCCTCAGCCCAAACCACTACAGTGCAATAGACTTGCATGCTAGTCATGTAGATTCTTCCCATCTACAGGATTTTCCATCTCCCTTCTTCAAATCTGTGACAGAAATTTTCGTTTAAGCCAAAATTTTAACAAGAAAGAAAATGTAAAGAACTCAGTCGGGTTTCAATCCCTCCGGAGGGACCCAAGTAATTAAGGAATAAACTTTATACGACAGTTGCATGCTCTACAAACTGGGTATGCAAATCTGCTGTCAGCAAACAATTTCCCTTATATTGCCTGTCTGTCCAAGATTATAATAATGTGGCACCTGTTCAGGCCTCTCTAACCTGATGAATGACCTGTGGCTCATTTGCTTGAGCAATTTACTTCTAAAAGTAACTGTTTATACCGGTATACAGATCAAAACTTATTTGCCTGTATTTTATTGAAGAGCTGTAGTCTATATTTAAAATATGTGTACTTCAAATTTCCAAGAGCTTACTAAAAGATTGACCATGAAGTTGGGTATGAAAATAAAACTCAGTGTCAGTCTTTAACTACATTAAACTGCATTTGAAAAAATTCTCTCCATTTTATCCTTTTATGGAATTTTGAAAATGCATTTACAAGCCATATTAAAAGTATGGGCCCGATTCTGGGAGAAGGCTCAATCCTCTACCCATCCTTATCACAATTAACCCAGTGTAAGACTGCTTTTTTACAGAGTTGTTATTAGGACAAAACTATGAACAAGTCTTAGATATTATTAACTGTTGGAAATCAATAGATTAATGCACAGCTGCTTTTTTAGATCTTTATTGCACATGCACTTTTTTGTACATATAACACTTACACATTACAATGCAAATAATTTGTATAAAGAGGCATCACGTTACAATACCTATGAAATATTAATCCACTAAACATGCTTTAAAAAAACTACTTAAAATGAAGATAAGATTTGGTATTTATCAAGATGGTTCCTGTGATGATGACCGTTCAATGAAAGAGACACTGATTTCAACTGAGCACCAAGAAGTCAACATTTCTCTGGTATAGTATGAGAAAGTAACAAATGAAAATTCTGTATTTATAGAAAAAATACATAAACAATATTGCATTGCCCAATTTTTGTTAAAAAAAAAACATTAATACAAATATGAAGCAGTTTCACAAAATTGATAAGAATATAATAACTACTACATAAACAAATACATATTTTAATTTTGATAAAGTTCTATGTACTTCAACCTGTAAAAGTACTGTTTTACTCAGGGGACATAAATTATGATTTTAAATGGCTACAGAATTTTCAAACAGCTTTTGGCAGAAACAAACAAAAGATGCAAGCTTTATGTTGACATGCACAGCAAAGTCAGAACATATATTGAAAAATTAAATAAATTTTTTGCCCGACTTTTGTAGTGTATCTAGACAATCTGAACATTATATAACTTTTCTAAGTTTAATAAAAAACATAGGTAATCAGAGATTACAGAGCTCACCTCAACGAATGTTGTCTTTAAGTAAGGCAAAGTCACACAATTAACCAACAAAAAGTGTACAAAAATGAAAATATTCATGCAATTTTGATCTGATACTTTGAAATAGACCTATATAAAAAATTCAAACTAGTTCTTCTTCATGAAAATGTAACTAAAATCCAGCATCTGAAGCAAATTTGAGAGTTTTCATCCCTTGATGCATCATTTGTGCAAGTTTGGTTTATACAATGTTATATAAGCCTTAAAGCATTTTGGTAATTGACCTGCACCCATAACTTTTACCTGGTCCATTATCTGAAAAATGTATGTTGAATTCAACATCCGAAGCAAGTCCATTAGTGTGCATCCTAAGATGTATCGTCCATGCAAGTCTGGTCATTAAAGAACTCATAGTTACTTGGAAATGAATCATGCACCAAAAACTTTAACCTGTTCACTCAACCAGAAAATGTAGGTCAGATTCAGCATCTGAAGCAAGCCTAGTAGGATGCATCCTTAGACGTATCATCCATGCAAGTTAAGTCATCATAGGGCTCATAGTATATTAGAAATGAGACCTGCACCAAAAACTGTAACCTGTTTACTCAACCCGAAAACGTAGGTCAGATTCAGCATCCGAAGCAAGCCTGGTAGTATGCATCCTTAGATGTATCATCCATGCAAGTTTGGTCAAATTAGGGCTTATAGTTACTTGGAAATGAAACCTGCACCAAAAACTTTAACCTGTTCACTCAACCGGAAAATGTAGGTCAGATTCAGCATCTGAAACAAGCCTGGTAGTATGCATCCTTAGATGTATCATCCATGCAAGTTTGGTCATTATAGTGCTCATAGTTACTTGGAAATGAGACCTTCACCAAAAACTTTAACCTGTTCACTCAACCGGAAAATGTAGGTCAGATTCAGCATCCAAAGCAAGTCCATTAGTGTGCATCCTAAGATGCATCGTCCATGCAAGTTTGGTCATTATAGTGCTCATAGTTACTTGGAAATGAGACCTTCACCAAAAACTTTAACCTGTTCACTCAACCGGAAAATGTAGGTCAGATTCAGCATCTGAAGCAAGCCCGGTAGTATGCATCCTTAGATGTATCATCCATGCAAGTTTGGACATTATAGTACTCATAGTTACTTGGCAATGAAACCGTCACCAAAAATTTAACCTGTTCGCTCCATCGGAAAATGTAGGTGAGATTCAGCATCCGAAGCAAGCCCGGTAGTGTGCATCCTTAGATGTATCATCCATGCAAGTTTGGTCAACATAGGGTTTATAGTTCCTTGGAAATGAGACCTACACCAAAAAGTGCACCAAAAATGTTAACCTGCTCCAAAAACATTAACCTGGTCATTCCTCTGCTGAAATTGCAGCATCTGAAACTTTGACTGGTACAATGAAACACACTAGAAGGATCTTCCATGCATGTCTATTCAATATAGGACACAGAAGTATTTAAAAAGAAAACTGCTCCAAAAAACTTAACCTGGGACGCCGACACCGACACCGACACAGACGCTGACGCCGACGCCGACACCGAGGGTATTACATAAGCTCCCCCAACTTCGTTGAGGTGAGCTAAAAATACCAAAAGTACATTTTTATAGCAATACTCTTTTTAAAAGAGAAAAAAGATGAATTTCAAAAGATAAAGATATAATGTGTTCTCCATTGTCCAATAAAAAACAATTTTAAAAGAGGAAAATAAAGTTAGTCACTTTTCTTCTTGTAGCTCTAGTGACATAACTAGCAGCAACACAACCACTGCTGTATCTTTGGCACCATATTAATGTAGGAAAAATATCGCTAAATGTGTGTAGTTTTTATATTCTAAATATTTTGCAGTAGATAATACTTTTAAAACTCTTTTTAAAGCCTATGATACTGGTGAATAAAAATAACAATGTGATATGGCACTCCTAGGTATCCCTTTTAAAAACGAGCTGAGAAGATTTGCGATGTCAAAGAGAAATGAAATTTTAAAAGTATATGGATGAACATTATGAAATCAGTAGTTTTCAATTCAGAAAAATATATGAACAGGATGTGTAAGATCTGTGTATGACCTCAGAAAATAAATGCATGAAATATTTAACAATCTAATTGTATAAATCATTCTCAATTGCACATCTCTTCCATAATCATTTCATTGCTAATTTCATGATCAGCATGCATATATATCATGTATATCAAAGACTTTTAACACAAATTTGAAAGCTTTTTTACTTTCAACATGAGAAAAATGGCTACCTTATTTACATCAGTTTTAATAGGGAAACATTTCTTGTTTTTTATTTTTCAAAGGAAACTGACCACAACTTAATAAAGAAAATGACTTGAATTTAGTTAAAATTTTTCATTTGGTTGTAATTTTAGATTCTGAAATAAAAAGTTTGTATCTGTAGCATAAAATTTGCTCACTGAAAGGTTCCATAAATTAATCAAACAATAATAACAGCTATCTAATGGACAGATTCTTCACAGAAATTTCAAGCACCTGTTATTTTTCAAAAATGTGTGTCAAGATAATACCTTTAATAAAGGTGTGAGACCCCACTAAATGCATCAAAGAAAAAAAATTAAAATGCAAGGCAAGAGGAAAAAATATTTGCATTATTTGTAAGACATATTAAACAATCTATTCTTTAAATTTAGACACAGTAAAGCCTAGGTACTTATTAAAGCAAAATGAGATTGTTCATCAAAAATTCATACAGTCTTTGTATAAACAATAAAATAAAAATCCAACAAAGTGCACTATTTGCTACATGTAAGTAACACTACTAAAAAGGCATAAAACATAAATAACAGAAATATTTGTTCAATATATGTATCTTCATCTTATAAAAACTCACTAAAGACAACCATTTTACTGCAGATCTTTTTCCGATCTACAACGTATATATGTAAATTCTATTTAAAAATAAAAATTAAATGCATATCAGATCATGACTTAGAAACTTGCCACTCTTTTTTGTCATACATTAAAACACTGTACAAACACCAATATATATATTTTAAGATATATATACATGTATACACATATACATGAATACAAAACATGACAGAAAATAATTATGACAAGAGCATGCATGAAATGGTTCGCTTGTGATCATGTAAGTAGAAAAAAGAAAATGATAAAAGCCAACTTCTAGAGATCAATATAATTTTGCTCATTGCAAAAAAAATAAACTTCCAACAATACATGTTTCATAGTAATACTACTAGTACATGATGCACAAGAAGCACTAAACTGGCAAATATTGGTTTTTAAATTAAACATTAAAATTTTATTAGCACATAGAATATTAGGAGAGAAATTTCTTGATGGAACTATAATCTTTATGCTGACACTGTTTCCACTAGGGACTCTTTGATAATTTCACCAAAGTTGGAGCTTCCTCCTGTTTGACAATTAACATCCATTAGCCCAGAATGAGGCTGTGTCCTAGTTGCAGTGGTCTCCATTTTCGGTTCCTGGGGGGTCATGTTTCCGTCAAGGTTCAAATATGTCTTGCCTGTGACAATATTGGTCTCACAGTTGTAACTCTCGGAATATTCATCGACGGGCGTGGCGGAGTGCTCCATGTTGTTGTTGCTACTGATATGTGAGGAGATGCCAGGACAAGCCTCCGCTATTTTGTCACTAGTCGTGTTTGTCATGGTTGTGTAACTGCAAGCATTCTGGTTTAAAGAGTTCTGTTGCACCTGAATTTGCATCATTTTATGTTGCTCCCAATCGAAGTGTTGTACGTCAGAGTATGATGATTCGACTTTGTATTCGAGGCTGTTGGTATTTACAGCATTGATGAACTTTGGGTAATAATGGCCGTTTTGCTGATACGATGACTTGGTCTTGTCCTCATTGTCACAATATCCCACAGTACCGCAGCCAACAGAATTGCCATAGGATGAAAGAGTCTGATAAGTTTTGGGAAACTCTGTTCTCTCGTCATAGTTTGGTGTATTATTATTGGGACAGGCCTCCGTTCCTGAGTAGCTTCCATCTCGTTTATACGGGTAATAAGATGGACCATTCTCAGAACGATAAAGGTCATTTTCATTGTCATTAAACATTAAGACACTCGTGGGTAGAGTGTTGGAGATTTCCGTCATCTGCTGTGAAGCGTTGCTATAGATATTCATAACCGCTCTCTGTTGCTCGGCTTCTGCATTCTCCACTTCCTGCATCATCACATTGCACACTTCCCAATTCTGACAGTCCCGGCAACTTCCGAGCTCATTGCTATTAAATTCGCTCAAGTCAATCATGCTTTGAGAGTTGCTTTCACTAGATATGTCGGATTCTGAAGGATTTTCTTCCTCCTCTTTAGAACTCTCCACTTTTGCCGAGACTGGAATATCATTATCCTGCCTTTCAAGTTCCAGTCTCATTTTAGTATGAATGAAATGAGTCTTTACTCTCAGTGGATTAAACTCTATACGACCAACGGGATTTCCGCAGCCTTCTTTCGAACATCCACATGGAAATGACTGTCTGTCCACCTGACAATTAATGCCTGCCAGACTGCATGCACAACTCTCGGGATCACAAAAAATACTGCAATCACAACCACAAAATTCACGAGAAATTCTCACTTTCTTACAGAAATCTTTCTCGGTACTATCAATTTTTTTCACACCTGACTGCTTCAGTGTGACTCGCCTCTGTTTTATAGACAGCGGTTGTAGGAAATAATAGTCGTCAGATTCTTCATAGTCTGAGTCTTCTTCCTCACTACTCCCGTCCTCCATCAGAAAGTCAGGAATGATCTTCCCCTGTCGCTTCTGGTCCTCCAAGAATAACTTGTGAATTCTCTTTTGTTCCGAGTAGTGTTCTTGTAAAGAAAAGTCTTTTTTGTAAAGATGTTTGTCTGACATCCCTGGAAAAAACAAAAGAGATTTCAATTATTTTTTACTTTAAAATATTTTTTAACATATTGTTTGCTGTCTCACAGTCTGGGGTTTCTGATATCTTTTCACAACCTTGTCTTAGTGAAGACTTTGTCTCCTAAAAATGGCAGCAGACCATATGCTTATGAAAAATTCATACTTGATCATGTTGAGCACATTGATACACATGCACTTTTAATAATCTTGAAAATAAGTGTTTCAAAAATATTGTGATTATAGTATCTTGAAATTACTTTTAATTTAATGAACATAATGATTCAATCACTTCTTACTCAAAATACCTTGCACATGAAACAAAAAATAACAGTAAATATTTTTTTAGTGATCACAAATTACCCAGAGTTGATCCCCCTTCACTGGGGATGCAGGTGAAGCCCTGAATCCGAGGGAAGTAAAACACGGTGACTCCCTGGAACTTGACGGACTTCTTCGCTTTCTTCCTCTTCGTGGGAAGATCTGCAACAAAAAAGGGTGCTTTAAGATGAGACATTCAAGATTTTTACTCACTTTTAAACAAAAAACATCCCAACAAAAAAGACTTAATTTTTTTTTCACATGTTGATGTGAAGTAACCATATTGGAATGGAGATGGCATTACGGATTTTTGTAGTGCTCAATTTAGCAGACTAAACATGCTTAATTATATAAATTTGGCCCTGATATGCTACAGGAATCGATTACCAGTAAATATTTGTAGAATTTATAGTCATATTTAGTACACTTATTAATACAGGCATATAAAACTATATATTGGGTATTTCAAGGTCACTGGCACACAAAATTATTTTGTCTGCCAGTGACCTTGAAATAACCCAAAATAGCTCTAGGTTAAAGTCTTAATCAAAATTTGCAAAAAAAAATCTTTGTGTCAAGATTGAGCTTCTTTCCAGTGATTCTCCATTGCAAACAATATCCAGGACTTAAAGAAACATTTTTTTTAAAAAGCAATAGAGATCGATGAATGGGATGGGACATATGGAGAGTAACACAGATTATTGTCAGTGACAATCATAAGTGGCATCTTCTGGTGCATATGAAGGATAAATAGGAAAGCAAGTAAGTGACCCTGAACCTGTCAAAATGACCTTAGTTCAGGGTCATGACCCACCCTCTGGTTATATATTAACTTTTGATAAGTATGTGAAGGTATAACTTCCTCTTGATAAGAAATTCATGGCCCTGGCACTAATTTAACACATTTCTTTTTGTCAGCTGCATTAAACCTACCCAAATTACCCTGTCATTAAAGATCAAGACACATCATCACCTTTCCTCAGGTAATAAGAAAACTCAGTACTGATATCAACCACCAATATTCTCCATTAAGAGATACATGTAATTTGTTAAAACTTTTTTTTTAATCAGTGACCTTGAAGTTGCCCAAATAACCTTGGATCAAGACCATGATTCATTCTTATTTTCAGAAAATAATACTCTTTGTGTGAACAATGAGTTTCAATGTTTTTTTAATAAGAAAATTATGGACTGGAAACTTTTTTTTTTAATTTTGACAAGTGAGTCATTATCTTAACCTGCCCAAATGACCTTGATTCAAGATTAAGACATTCTCACATCTTGGCCAATGGACACTTTTTGTGGCAGGTATCAGCTTTCATTGATCCTCCATTAGACAGACTGAGAGTTATACAACTGCACGGACAGACAGACAGACAGATTCCTATATACTCATAATCTGTTTATAGGGGGGTTTAAGGCAAGGGGAGGTAATTAGCAACCACTTATTTGAATATTTCAGAATTATATAGAAATTTAAAAGACCCACCTTGGATTCGGTCCAGTGGTACATCTGAGCTGCTGTTGGTGACTACAGAACTACAACTGTTTTCTGTGTCTGAGGTCTGCGGGGAGGAGGAATCTTCTCCCTCCAACTTACGCTTCATTGTGATAATTTACATTCTACAAAATATAACATTGAAATACAGTACAATAATTACACCCTGGTTCATTTAATAATTTTCAAGTCATGCTTGATATGTGGATCACAGAAAGATTAAACATTGATTAAAATGTACCTAAAAAAAATAATTATTGTAACAAACAGCAGAGTCATCATTATCAGAATTATATAAAATCTAGGGATGCAATAGATTAAAGAGTTTTGTAACCAAATCAATATTTTATACAAATTTCTTGATTAAAATAAAATAGGACAAAGCATAAATCAAAATAAAAAGAAGAAGAAGGAATAATTTATTTTATGTAACCCATTATCACTGTTGTTCAAAGCTTGTTTATATCGATTTGAAATAAATTATGAAACTGTGACCAAAAACGAGAAGTTTTGACTTGTAATACATATCACAGATCATAATTTTCTTTGAAACTCCTCGAAATTTTTTTTTTTCAATATTAAAATAACGGTATGAAAAACATGCAAAATTATAATGTTATTGAAAAGGTAATTTGTCAACTTCATTTTTTGGGGGAGCAGCTGAATAATATCATATAAAGACAAGACTTAATTGGCCAGAATCAAACTTTTCAACAAAAACAAAGTTTTTATTATTATTATTTTTTATTTACTTATTTTCTTTAAAGACAGACTTCTCAGAATTTAGTTGCAATATGATCAATGTAGAACTGCAAAAATAACAAAAATCTCAGATCACGTCCATTTGCATGTTGGAGTTCAAGAATGATGCTATACATAAAATCAATATCATAAATTCTTCAAATTTGTCTTTAAAACAGGGAGAAGTACAAAATTCTATTTCATCTTCATATTCCTATAGCTTAATGTATCTGCTGGATTAAACATGACAAACTGTCAACTAAGCAAATGTACCAATACTTTTTTGACAATATTAAGCTTCAATACATTAACACTTTTTACTTATCAGTAATCAGTTAATAATTAGTACTTTAGACAATTCTGTAACTTTTATAAAAACATCTTATATACAGGTGCCCGTGTTCTGCAAGAACTGACAATGAGACAATATGACAATAGATCTGGATCTGGTCAACCAAGGAAGCAAATTGTAAACATCAAATTTGCCGCGGATAGAGAGAAGGACGGATAATACGTATACTATACCTGTGATTCAAGTCTCAATCAACAGTCAATTGACCTATTACGGTAAATTCGGTGTAATCTCTTTAGTCGCTGATTGTTCATATTCGCTAAAGCGCACACTACATAAGTAGATGGGATTGCTCCGCCTTTAAATATAGTTCGATATTTAAAATAAAAGAAACGTGTTCAAGTATAGATTAAAACGAATGAAACTAATAGAAATGTAAAAGTTTTCTGTTTGTCGAATAATTATAAATAATTAGTTATGTGTTGTTTTCAGTTTTGTTTTTCAAAATATCACTACGCGACATAATATTGATAAATTGCCAATTCCCATAGTGACGTCACAAACATTTTCCAATGTGCAGAAGGTTCCATTTTAGAGGGGAATCAGGTTGTAATAAATTATTTTTGTAAACCTCTCAAAACTTGTATTTCATCAATAACTTTCATAATATATTGAAAAATATAGATTAACGATGTTCTTTTCAGTTAAAGGAAACTGCAAACTGTAAGAATCTGAACTTATTCTGTATAAAAATCCTTACAGCTCTATGACGGAATGGAAAGAAATGGGTGAAAGGTCAACCACGTGTGTACTGTTGACATGAAGAAGGCGCTAAAACTTTGAGGGAGACATGAAAACAAGAGGTGAATCTAAAGCTCTTCTTTTGTGTGAAGTTGTTTGTATTAACATTAAATTACTATCTGTTCACAATTTTTATCAACGTTGTGTACATGTACGTATGTAAATTGATCATAATATAAATATGTGAGGTAAACTGAAAATGTTAGCAATAAATTTATACATGTGTACAGCATGTACGTATGTATAAATTATCTGGTGATCATAGTAGTTTTTAATATAAATATGGGGGCTTGTTTTCCGGATTGTTAAATTTAAAATACCATGTTGCAATATTCAAGGCCGGATATGGGGTAACCCATATCTACTAGGTTTCAAGGCCAATTTTTAGTGAGGCAAGGGTGTTGCCGTTGCATTTCTAGTCCCAGACGGGGCAAGGGTAGTACCTGATAGCCAGTGATGTGGGGTTTCCAGGAGGAGGGGAATCCTGAAACCTGGTTATCAGAAAATAAAAGATTTAACCTTAGAAAGTAATTACGTTTTTGAATTGTCGCTCGCATGACACAGTGGTTAGAGCGTATGGCCGTATGCTCTAGAGCCGCAGACTAAGGAGTTGATCCTTACATCGCGGGTTCGAATCCCACTGTGGGGTGTGGAGACCGGTCCTTCGGATGAGACCGTAAAAATCGAGGTCCTATATCACAGTAAGTGATGGCACAAAAAGATATTTCACTGTTCAATCATCTTCAGTGACCCTGAAAGCCTAGTGCAGATTTAAAACTTGCAGCCCTCCACTGGCAACCGGTGGTGTCTCAATATGAATGAGAAATTCTTAGAAGGGATGTTTTAACAATCAAACAGTTTACAAAACAAACATTTTGAATTATATTTTACATGCGTTCTAAATGATTTTGAGGCACCTGGCGAGATGAACGATTTACATAAATTGAAACAAAAGTTGAAATTATTCATTTAGCACGAAGACACACATAATTCATAAGTTCAGTTTAACACTTTTTCGCTTTTCAGAAAATTCTAAAAATTTAGTGAGGCATTTGCCTCACTTGCCTCAATGGTAGTTACGGCCTTGATATTGAATTTACTTTAGATGCACACTTAAAAAAATGTTTCAATTACATAAATTCTGCGCTTTAACACAATAATATTGTGGTTTAATTGCTCTTTATTCTAGGAAAGAGGCTGAGAAGCTTTGTACAGGAAAACAAGCTTATATCAAGGAACAGGGAAAGCCAGCCAAGTCCTCTAAGAAGTCCCGAAAAATCTAAATATAGTAGCAAAGGTGGGACAAGCAATAGGCAGGGAATCAGTCCAGACAGGAGTAGGACCCCAGTCCAGGATGACAGGAAACTGTCAATATTAAAGCAGAATAGAGCTGTAAACCGCAAAGTAATTCACCTATGTTAAAAGAATATCATACTATAGCTACATAAGTGTGGATCAATTCATCATTTTGTGTGTGTGTGGGGGGGGTACATTCTATCCCTGCCCCCCCATACTATAGCTGCATAAGTGTGGATCAATTCATCATTTTGTGTGTGTGTGTGTGTGGGGGGGGGGGTACATTCCATCCCTGCCCCCCCCCCCCCCCCCCTCCAAAAAAAAATGAAATATATATATATAATCCAGACATTTCTTGGCAAAAAAAGTTAAATTAAATTCATTTGGTAAAATAAAATTACTCCTATCCAAAATATGAAAAAACCTATTTTACAGTGATCTCTTCACTTCTTAGTTGAACTGTTCTTCCTACCAACTTGCGGTTCCTTTCAACCCCCTCTAGATTTGAATGCAAATGCTACAGTATGTAGTGCATGGTTTCTATGTTTAGATTTGGCGGTATTGGTTGATGACTGTCCATTAATATAACTGTATCAACTAATTTACCTAAATTTTGTTTGGTCTCATGATCGAAATCTTGTCGTGAGGACATTCAAAGTGTAATAAACTAATATGAATTAGATTTTTATATCCAAATTTATCCAGCTTGACACCTCATACAGTATAGTGTGTAGTGATTTTACGTCTACTCTATTTTCAAACTACCGGTAATCCACTTTTGTAGTAATGTACATATTCAATCTATAACCTCTTTAAAATCACAAAGGTTTCATTTTCAAACATAATTTTCAAAAATCTCTAAGTCTCTTGGATGAATCTTGTTTGTATAAATTAAGGGCTAAACCCTCTTTAACTGGGAGATACCTTTAATAAATGAAGTAGCATTTTAAAAACTCTTTGAGGCTAGGTTGGGACCATCATAGGGAAAAATCTTTTATTTAAAAAAAAATCAATTTTAGAACAATTAAAAATTGGAATGAATTTTTGATAAGTTAGGATTGTACATGAAGGCAAAATGCATTTGTAGCATAATTTTGTAATTCCATTGATCCCCAGCAAGAAGTGCTCTGCATTGTTAAAATGTGGAACACTTTTATTTATTTAAAATCCAAATTGTTATTGAAATTCTTACTTTGACATGTTTGTATTTACCTTTACCTCTTATCAGTAAACTGGTGTTTTCAAATTATTTGATCATAAATTTTTCATCGACAGATAAGCTTCACCTCAATAATAAAGTAAAGATAGTATTTGTTTAATAATGGATAGAAATAAATATGAATATTTTGATAATTTAGGCCAAGAATGTATTACTATTAGAAAGAGATGCAAAGGAAAATGAAAACCTAAAATCTAAATTGAGTTCAAATTTTCTAAACATTTTCCAATTTTTTTCTTGACTTTTTTTTTTTACAACCTTCTGAATTTAAAGAGCCATTGTATGGCAGAAAATGTTTACTGCAGTTAAAGTTGTTATTCAGGCTTTTGTGAATCTTCAATTGTTTTAAGATACCTTGTTACATGTATAGAAATGCTTAACTGCAATACAGCATTGATTTTTATGTCACCCTGAACGAAGTCGGGGACGACATATTGCGATTGCACACATGTTTTTGTAATTCAGGCTGTTTTTCGGAGATAACTGGAACAGTATTCCTGACACTTTCCTCAAAGGAGGATCACTGGTTGTAGTTGTGTTGTGTGGTCATTCAGTTTCAAAATGGCTACCGTTGCCATGGAAACCTGCAAAAAGCGATGAATTTTGTCCACAAGTGTTCTCTCTGGTCACTTGAACCTTCGTCATGAAACTTTTTTTTATTTTAGTGATTAGTAATTGTAGTTGTATGAAACACATTTAAAATTTTCAAATAATCGATAATTGCCATGGAAACCAGGGGAACGTAAAAAATCTTGAAGTTTGATTTTTAAATCAAAGTACTGAAAGGACTGATACAAATTGATAGTTGTCCAAGCTTAGCTAATGGGAATTGTTTTAGTGATACAAAAAATGAAAGTCTTGTCCAGTTTGAGGTGACATACGCTATTGCTTGCAATTGCAGACTTTCTAGTTTTATAATTATTTTTAATATATAAAATATTTGTATATGTTTAAAATTTGAAAGTATGCATATAACAAATGTACGAAAGTAATAATTAATTTATAGTTTAAGATGCTAGTGGAAAATGCATTATCCAATATTGAATAATCTTCATGTAATAAAGGGTAAGGATACAGTTGTCGGCCTAGGAAAACCTGTAGGACACACAGTCACATACTGTTATACAAAAGTATATATTTCAAAACTAAATGTCAAATATATTAATCATTAAGTTTATTCCAGAAAAACTTTTTGGGCACTCTTACCAATGCGACAGAAAATAGAAAAGTACGGTTTTCAAAACTGGTGTCCATCACAGACCAGTTAACTGGGAGCAAGGCGAAGCGGCTCAGTCCAGATGATATGTCACCGGAACCCAGACCAGGCCAGCGGAAACGGAGGCAGGTCGATTCTGATGAAAACAGCTCACCCTCACCGGAGAGAATGGGACAGTCCAAGAGGAGAGGGGGGATTGTCACTGACCACGTGAGGAAAGAGGCATTCTCCCCAGACTTGAACAAGGTTACACTAACATAACAAAATATCAATGATTACTATTATATAGTGAATTTAAAGCTAGTTTTTTTCTAAAAAAATTTCTTTGAAAATGTATAGAGAGTATAAAGTTCTAATCAGCTAGTATTGAACTGCATCATTGAAAGAATGGATGTTTTTTAAGAACCCTAAATAATAAAATTTAATGTTTTACTTTTAGTGCTTGCAAGTGGCAATAATTCATTAATTTATTACCTTTCGGGAGATTCAAATTGATGTACTTGCATGTAGGGTATCATTAATTAAATTGAACTGAAAATTGAACTGAACCTTTCACACTTCAGGTACCTGAAGGGACGTCAAGTGAAAAACTTGTCAAGAAGCCACCTACCATGATAGATTTAGAAAAGCTCCTGCAAGAACTAGCCAATCAGAGAGTACATGGTAAGTTCAGGGCTCGAATACGCTTGTCCGCTTGTCATCCAATCTGTTAAACAATTACGGACAAGTGAATATTGCTGGGCACTTGTCCGATTGGACAAGTGATTTTTCATGTAAAGAAGTCTTTGAATAATAATAAAAAACAACTATCGATTTAATTGATAAGTTTTTGCAAAAAGCGTTAAATTTAATTCATACCCACAAGAAATTTATCTTATGAAAGAATGCTTTCAACAGGTGTATGAAAATTAAGTATGTAAGTTGAAGTTTATATTTCCTTTATCTTATCAATTATTCACTAATTGCATCCATACCATGCATGGCGTGGATCTTGCGATGTTTGCCGATTTGGAATAAATCTGATTGAATTAGAGATTCACTTGCAAACATTTATGTTGTTGTATCAGGTTGTGTAGATAAAATTTAATTGTTTTATATGTGTTTGTCTTTTTTATCAATAACAAGACTAATAAACCAAGCATGTTTAATTTTTTTTCATTTATGTAATAGTTTTCAAGTTGACAGAATAAGATATTCAATGAAAAAAAATTTTTTCAGACAAGTGAAGTTGAAGTTTTTCAACTTTGAATATAAAATTGGTCACTTGTCTAATCACCCTCTACAAAAAGATTCATTTTGAAAAAATTAATGTGTGTGCCCTGAAGTTAGATCTAATACATCATTGTCATCCATATATGTTACTCAAATTCCTTAAATCTAGGGCAATAGCCGTACTATTTAAGCATCTTTTTGCAGATTAATTCACAACAAAGCTTTTTTGAAGCAAAAAATTTGTATTACAACCTCGTGTGATGCCATAGGTTTTTGCAAAAAGCGTTATTAATTTAATTTCATACCCATAAAATTTGCCATCTTCAAAAGAATGCTTTCAATATGTGACAATGAAAATTATTGTTTATATAAAAAAATCTTTAAAATTGAATATTTCCTTATCTTAAAACAATTCATATTGGAATCTTAAAAAAAATTCCTAGGGGCAAACGTTTAAACCTAGCCTCGTGTAGAAAACTTCTTTATTGTACTTTTCAAGTAGAATGTTTTTCTACTCATACAGTAAAACTCGATTTAATAATCAAGTCTTTAAGACCTTGAAATAACTATGAGCTATATCCATATAAGGAATTGTTAAATTTGTGATTTAACCGTGGGGCATTAAATTCACTTCACTACGTCCGTGAATCACAATATCCTTGGTTTATTTGGTTACCGGACTAAACAAGTTTAAAGATGTATCTTTTAATTCAAACAAATAAAAAGTACCAAATGTATTGAAACTTTTCAAAGACTTTGAAAAATGTATTATATTTTAATCAAAATATATACATTTTATATTTCAAGTTCGTAAAACATCGCTTTTACTTTAAATTTGCAAGTTTTTTAAAGCAAAAGTTTACATCTGTTTGTGTATGTCTTACATGGCAAAAAAAATATGTTTCACCTTCTGTTGTTTTTTAATTGCCAAAATAGGTAAATGCCAACAAAAATTGTGTAAACATTGATTATTTTGTATGTTTTACTAATGATGTTACGTGTTTAAAGCTCTCTGGTACAAAATATTTTCATCTTTGATAAAATCAAAATGTGTGTGCAAATTCAGCAGAAATCATCAATATATTGAAACTTTTTATATATATCTAAATTTTGAAAGAACAAAAGAAGTGCTAAGCCCTGATATTTCTAATTTCTTTTAAAAAAATTACCAAATTGTAGAGGATATTGACCAAATTTATTTTCGTTTTACAAGATTCCTGTAATTTAGACGATAACAGAGGTGTTGGAGTGATGAGCGTAAAACGCCATCTGGTGAGAGATAAGTCATAAATGTGCCAAAAGACTGTTTCAAAACAATGAAATCTTGAAACAATTTTTTTTGTGTTAAACTTTATGTTTATATAATACAAAATGACCTTATAAAACGTTTGAAAACAAATTTTAATTATATAAAACAATTCATTTACACGTGTAATCGTTTCGCCCTTACTGGGAACTAATGTTAAGTTTATCAGAAAGAACATGAACATGTATTGGATAGAATAAAATAAAACCTTATACATTTATGTAAAAAGTGTTAGTTTTTATCCAAGAATAAAAGAGAGTTAATGTGTGAATTAATCCTACTTGATTTGTAGGTTTTATACTGTGTGGATATGTATGAAGAGGGAGAAGATTTAGCTGCAGTAAGTAACTAACAGGAATTAACATCTGAAAATTAAGCCCTTTTCACAGGAATGCTTATTAAATATTTATTTTGCTTTAAATTGATGTGAAGTGAAATAATTTGTATCAAATTAATGAAAATCTAATAGCCATGTATTATAAAAAGCAACTAATGAAAAGTTTTGATTTAGTGGAGCATGCATTAAAATTTGATAAAATTCACTATGATAATGGAATCTTTATGTATGGCACGCCAAATTCACAAAAATGAGATAAACCTAGTTTCACATTTTATAAACTAGGTTTATTTGGCCATAACTTTTTACAATCCGTAAACACTAGTTATTTCACATATATATTCTTTGTGATAGTTTTCATTGGAAAACAATATTTAACGGTTGTTGACCTTAGTTTACGAATTATAAAAAAACTTTAACATTGACCATAACGTTAACAATAGATTTTGTTGATATATGTAATCCTTGTGTAAACCTATAGTTTACCAAGAACTTTTACCCTTTTACCTTGACCTTGGAGTTTGACCTACTTTTAAAGACTATGACCTTTGCCACAACTTTTGGACAGTAGATGATTGGACTTTCATATTTCACATATGTATTGTTTGTGGCAAGACCTATCATTTGATATCAACAACCTTGACCTTTTGCAATCGCAAATGATTGTTTTTTGTACTTATGAAAAAACTTTAACCTTTACCATAACTTTTGAATGGCAATGGCTAGGGCCCTTTCACAATTCGCATATGTAATCACTTTACAACACTTTGCGATCAGAAAATTTTAGCCTTTGACCTTGACCTTGGAGTGCAGTGATGATTTCTAAATTGCATGTGTATTAGGGTGTTCATAATACACACAATATATCAACATGCACACTCACCCACAAAGACACCGAAAGCGGGGGACCACAATTCCTTGAATTTGCTTGTTAAATATTTATTTTGCTTTAAATTGATGTGAAGTGAAATAATTTGTATCAAATTAATGAAAATCTAATAGCCATGTATTATAAAAAGCAACTAATGAAAAGTATACTAGCGTGCATTAAAATTTGATAAAATTCACTATGATAATGGAATCTATGGCACGCCAAATTCACCAAAAATGAGTGTGTTTCACATTTGATAAACTAGGTTTATCTCAACATGTCTCATGTTTACAAACCGTAAACTTTAGTTAACGATTTGTTAAGTATCAGTTTTCAATTGCCTATGCTTTGCAACGGTATATATACCGTTTATAATTATAATCTAAGTCTTATATATCAACTGTAATAAGCGTTAACAATAGATATATATACACGTTTGTAAACTATAGTTTACAATCGTAAACTATAGTTAAGAGTTGTTAATCATAGTTTCACAAATCGTGAAACTATATTTATCGATCGTTAACTATAGTTAACGGTTTGTAAACTATAGTTTACAAATCGTGAAATCTGTATTATCTTGCAACACTGTTTTGCAATCGCAAATGATTGTTTTCGGTGTTAAGTATATATACGGTTGTGAAATATAGATTATTGCGTTAACTATGGTTTACAGATGTGAAATATAGATTAACGTTGTTAACTATAGTTTATGGTTTGTAAACTATAGTTTACAACCGATAAACCTAGTTTATCGATTGTGAAACTATGATTATCTCAATTTTGTGAATTTGGCGTGCCTTAGGAATCATTTGCTTATTACATATAACATCATCTTATGGAGAGAACTGAAAGCAGGTGTAAGGTGTAAATCTATGTAATTTGACAGTGTCTCTACACCTTGATTTAAACACATCTATGTTTTTCACTCAAAAAATTGTGCAAATAGCAACACTTTGATGAGATGAAATAACATGCATGTCACACATATATTTCATATCTTATTAAATACTGCAATATTTAGCTGATTTATTTCAATCTCATTTTTCTCTTGCTGAAAATTATTTTATATTGAAGGCCACCAAATTTCCGCCAATCAACAGTTTGGAAATTATGAAGCAGAGACGAGAAAAGGTGAGAATATTTCATATGACTACATGTATAATCACAGATATCGACCTCTTTCTAGTTCATTCATTGGCTTGTTCATTCATTGATACATTTATCTAATATAAAAACTTTTTCCAAGTCCTTTTGGGACAAAGATGGATCGAGGTTTATTTAACCATGTGTTACACATACATGATTTTATCTGGACAATGTTCTTTGAGATAACTGCACAGATTTGTCTGAAACTGATTATGACATGAAAGATTTTCACCTATTTATTTTCATTGGACAATTTTTCTTCATTTTACAAATATTTGCATCATCATGTTTACACTTTTTAAATTTATGATATACAGCATTGTAACAAATTTAAAAATATTTCAGCATAAATGTGGGAGTATATTGTTATTAATAGGTGAAAACTGTTCAATGTGACACTTGTGCAATCCATTTCAGGGTGTGAACTCGAAGCCTTTTTCATTCCCATCTTATCATTTTACTGTCTGTTCCAACACAAAATGTAATAATCAGATTAGACAAGTTTCCCTGTACTACAAAAATGCAGAATTAAAGGGGAACAAACAACAGATAGTATCAATCCATTTTTACATAGTCTTGGAAATATAAGAAGTATTTTGAAAAATATTTCCATTTCAAGATTTTAATTAATGAGTTCATTGTAGGGAGACTGCCTTTGTCATTTCTGTAAAATCATCTCTGATCAAGTAGGTGTTATCTTACGGGAATTAATGTCACTGCTGTGCACAAAAAATTCAAAATCTGCTCCCGCTGATTATGTGATTTTTTCTGCATTTAAGTTGCAATGATAATTCCCGTACTAAAAAACAAAGACATTTTATTGTTTAGTTTTAAACAATCTTTTAATCGTGAGCATAAAATGAGTTTTATGAAAGCCTCGTCACTGTGAATATTTCTTGCATGAACCAAATTCTTAAAGTATCTGTGTCCATTGACAACAGATCAATAAAGACGGCTTGGCCTCGAAAATTGATAATTGCAAACTACTTTACCCTCAGTGAATTGCGAAATAAATTCATCGCAAATAAAAGTTGGTTTACAGTATTTTGTTGTTTTATAGACATGTATTTTTTACATTTAATTAGTACACATTTTGCTCATTATCTGATGCAGTCTATTACAGTGTTTTACATTTATTTGCAGTATGCACTGTCTCTGTATAATTTATTGTATCGTCATGGTTACAGATGTATAAAGAGAGAGCGGTGATGCAGAGGGTCGAGTCCTACAGAGGAACTACAGAGGAGAGGTACGCTCTCCTGACAGAAGTTAACCACTGGCTCAATAGTACAGACCTGGTAAAGTTCCATCTTCACAATAATATACATGAACATTGAAATGTAACTATATGATAATTACCTTAAAAAGAAATTTTTTATTTTAAAAAATGTTTGAAACGTAACGTAGATGTATATAATTGAACAATTTCAAAGCTTTGCAATCCAAATAAAATCAGATGATCCTTTGATCCACTCACATAGATGACAGGCTACACAAGCTAGGGTCTGAAGAAACTCCATTCAGGGTCATTTCCTCATGACCTGCCTATGCAACATAGACAAATTAAATTGACTCAACTGATTTATTTTCTTTCAGAAAGTTCCAACTAATATGATAGAAATTAAGTGTCATTTCAGCTTAGTGAGCTCCCAAGTGAGGAGGAACTTTTTCAGATGAGCAGACATTTCCAAGAAATACATAGCCATGTCATGTAGGTATTAGACATAGTCATGTCATATAGGTATAAGGCACTATCAGGTACATGTACATTATAAAAACCTTAACCAAATATATACACAGTTCTCTTTGATTTGTGAAATAAGTTTTTGCTTATTTGAAACAAAGTAAAAAAAAAATTTACTGATCAAAATTTGTTTGTCTGTTATTTGTAAGACTTTTTCTTAAACATTATTTATATAGATAATTAACATCTGTGATAACATTTTTAAAAGTTGAGTCTTGGTCTTCCACGAGACAGTTGTGAAATCGATGTAATACAAAATGTATTTAAATTTTGATTTTAGGACAGCTATCCATAGATATGGAAGCTTGAGTGAGAAAGTGATGGACCTTGGGAGCAGTCTCTTGGCGACAACTCATGCTATCATTATGGAACAAAAGGAAATCGCTAAAGTGGGTCAGGCCAAAGAACAGGAGAAAACTATTGTCATTGATGGTAAAATTTTCAGTGTTAATTGAGTTTTAATCGATAATTGATTTGCCATTGATGGTTAAGTTATCATTGACAGTAAAGTTGTCACTGATTGGGGTAGGTTGTCTTTGACAATAATGTTGTCAGTGATTACTGGTTTAGTTGTCATTGACAGTAAAGTTGTCAATGATGGGGTAAAGTTGTCATTGATGGTAATGCTGTCTTTGATGGTAAAGTTGTCATTGAGAGTAATAATGTTATTGATGTTAAAGTAGTTCAATCTCATAGTGACAACTTCAATTCAAATAGTCTGAAAAATCTAATAGGTTTTCCTGGCTTCAGATTTTTTGGACTACAATTCAAACAAAAAGGATAAAATCAGAAAAAATAATTTGAAGACTTTTTCCATTGTGGTTGAAACTAACATTTAGGAAATTATGATAGTATGAATTAAAAAAACCCAATTTATCTGTTATTTTGAGTATATTTTGAGTTTCAGACAAAATGAATTTGAAATTGGTTCAGCTAATTGAGAGATAAACTTCTGATATTTTGTTCCTATAGAGAGACTTCTCCTCTCTGACCAGAATAAGTGGGACTCAGCTGTGAAGATGGTCATGAGTACGTTTGATGATGCCATGAAGTGGACCAAGAATGCTACCTACAAAAATAGTCAGTGTCACATTTTATGTTTCCACAAAATATATTGATCAAAGAATCTCTAGCCTCACATAAAACAATGTTTTAAGTATTCCCCATTTTCAAAAGGTGAGTTATTTCCCCTGAAAGGAACTCTTTTACTGTATTTAATACGCATGCGCTATAAATAAAGTCACTTCCGCGGACGTTCTTGATGTAAACATGTTCATGGTATAACGCATCTGTCATATGGAAAAATGTTATTGTGTTTGTGAATAAAAAGAAATCTTACCTGATTCGTATTTTTTTTATAAATTGTCCACTCATAGTCTCTTTCTGGATTTGTATTAATCTGTATAGTAGTATAATAAGGCGCTGTGTGAGCCCCCCCCCCCCCCCCCCTTACAAAAAAAAAAGAAATTACTGATAAAATGCTGATACATATTCGAATAGGCCTATTTTGAAAAAGAAAACAAAAAACAAATGCTAATTTTCGGTAGTGGATGTTCTGCAGACGGATCATCATTATTTACAAAATGTGCAGAACAAATATAAGAATTTTTAGTTATAAAGTTTTTACGAATTAATCTCGCCTACTGCAGCCATATTTTCTTCTCTGCATCTCCAGAAATTTTTTGAAGACTGATGACATATCTTTCTACAGTTTTACCTTTGAAATTGCTGCATGTACAGTAGTAGTTCGTCTTCCGCGACCGATACCAAGAAACTGCGCTTTGATTCGATTGTATGTCATAACATAGAACTTTTACTTTTAAAAGAACACATTTGGTGACAATTAAAGGCCTATTTCATTTGAATAAACCGTGTTTCCAGAATTTTTTTATTTGTAAAATAATTGATTCACTGTATAGTATTAAAACTTTGAATTGAATTCTAAATGAATAATTTAATCTCATGTGCTCATGTTACGAAGAAAGACTAATTAAAATAGCAATTTAGTACATGTATTCATTTTTATAAGTTATTCTTTTATGCAAAGTGTGTAAAAAACAATATCAGAGAGAGAGAGAGAGAGAGACAGAAGGAGAGAGAGAGAGAGAGAGAGACTCATGAAACCCTGTGTAACTGACATACATGTACATCTGTGAAAAAATATATGTACCGTAATTACATTGAATTCACAATTAATAATTCTAATAATTTTTAATTTCCACAACTTTGGTTCATATTCAACTGTCCAACCCATTTACACATTCGTTCTCTGTACCTGTACTCACGAAACCCGGCCTCGTGCGTCACCTCAGTGTCAATCAAATTCGCATGAAAGTTGATCTGAAACATTCTTATGGTCAGTTCTGAGTTCAAGTGTAATTCAAGCGAAATTCATCTTCCCGGTTTCACCACAACGCTTTTTAAAGACATAAATAAGATGTATCCCGTAGATTATACATGTAAGATTTTAAGAAAAAATTACAATAACGTACCATAAATTTGCAAATTTCTGATGAAGTTGTTTGCCAGCTAACAGGCAAGTAGCAACCGGGAGGGGCCTAGTCCCACCCCCACTTTTTTCCAAACATTACTTTTTCTATTGAAAATGTTCATTGAAAGACAGGTTGCCCCCCCCCCCCCCCGCCACACACACACAGTTTATACTACGGTAAAGTTATATAAGGGAAATGTAGTATTGTATGCCAAGGAACTGGTACTGAAATAAGTAGCTTTTTCCACTTTGGGCAAGGTTTTTCTTTGCTTGTCAACTTTTCTAGGTAAGAAAAAAATATTTCTTTGCCCCCCCCCCCTTTAAAGAAGATGCTACGTGCCTATCTAATTCGTATAGCTTTCTAGAAAAGGGGGGGGGGTAACAGACCCTTTATAAAATCGCTTATTATCTAAAAAAAAATTGCAAACAGTTTCTTTCTATTAAAATTGTTAAATGCAGCGTGTAAGTTCATTACAATTTTGTTTGATTATTGTAATGCGTAGTCCGCGGAAGTTATGCTAGTGTAGAAGAGTTCCGATTTTGAGGGGAGATAACTCACTTTTGAAAATGGGGAATAGTAAGCTTTTCTGATTTCAGAGTGTCCATTTTTCGTTTCAGTGTTTTATATAGCTGGCAATGTATGTTGGAGTATATATAGACCAGATATCATTTTCATAAAACAACAGAGCTACGATTGATTTTTTCAAGAAGTGTAAATACCATTATACTTTATATAATTTTTGTTCTAATCATATCTTCTTTAGCAAGGTTGAGGCCACAATAGAGGGGCCAACTCAAAATTTTTTGTAGCAATTTATGTCCTTCTTTGAGACAACAACGCTTTTTGTTCAGTGTCTTCGTATAAAACTAAAATTTGTGAATTCTTACACAAAATAAATACTGTATAATCCCTATTAACTCGCCTGGATGCTTAGAAAATTGCGAAAAGGGGGCGGTTATTTTGGTATTCTCATTATATAATTTAAAGTCTTTTTTTAACTTCAAAAATTTTAAAGAACCACTACAATAATGTCTAACTTTACTTTAAGTGAAGATAATCCACCCAAATTATGCTATAGGATTCATTTTCCACCGAGAAATTGGAAAATAGAAAAGTTACATTTTCACTTTCTTCAAATTTTGGCAGACTTTTGATACAATTATAGATGATTTTAATCACTGTACTGGGGGCCCTTATTTTCTGATAATTGAAAAAAAGACCTAGGGGGCTCTTATAGGGGCAGGGGCAGTTGATAGAGATTATACGATAACAGATTTTAGAGCATTTGAAATTAAAATCTTTTTTTCATTAAAGTAAGAACTGGGGGTTATTTAATTTCTCATTTTGAAACTTTTTGTTGCAGTTTTTAAAAAAGGTCAATCACAGTTTAAGGAGCTCTCTTCTGGTATGAAGAAACGTAACACAGAGTTGAAAGAAAAAAGAAAAGCGGCAGAGGATGCAAAAATGGTAATTTATAATAACGATTCTAAAAAAAAAAGAGGAGCAATTAGATTCTGGCTGTCAATAAACATTGTGAGCACCTTATGATTCATAAATCATAACTTTTAGTGACTAGGTACTTTTTCTGAAAAATGAATTGTGGGTTATTTATCCACTTTTTACAGTTATCGTTTCATTGTAAAACTGGTCATCATTTGTTTTAATGATTACCCACTGTAGCACTGTCTTTTTTTCTTTGAAACATTTAAACTGCTTCATAGGTTGAAAAGTATATTGTATTTTTTTTTTGGCATCATGATATCAATTTTTTTTTTTATTAATTTTTTTGAAAAATTTATTTGAATGCCTCATGCATTTGGTAAAATTTTATACCCAATTCACAAAATACTGTAGATTCCTTATTATTCGTGAATACTTTTTATCGCGAATGGGCTCTTCTAAGGCAAATTGCGAGAATAATAATTCACAAATGGACAGTTGATCAAGAGATTTTACATAGATTTCAGTGCCATAAAAATAAATGTGAGTAATTTTATTTTGTGTGTGGTGCTTTTCGCGATAGTTAATTCCATGCATATATTTATAGGAATCTACAGTTACTGTAATGTTTATGCTGTTAGCAATGTTGATATGCAAGCATCCCTATATGGTGTATAATCAAGTTGATGCTTATCAGTTGTCCAATCACTAGGATGTCCTCTTCATTGTATTTTTATTTCATAGAAACTACAAAATGCAAAGACTGATGTTGAAGGTAAAGGCAAAGAATTGGAGGAACTGAAGAAAAATGTCAGAAAGATAACTACAGAACTGGATGAAAAGAAGCATCTGCTGGTAAACTTTGAATATTCATGCTTTTAATTAATCTCATAAAAAATGCAGGTACCCAGTTCTCTATTTTTATCTGTCTTCCATTTGAAGTATTTTTCAAGTCATCTTTTTAATTTACTTTTTGCAGGCCAAAGCAGAGGAGAATAATGCCAAGATATCACAGAAATGTCAGAAACAGGATGCCCAAATCAAGGACCTACAAGAGGAACTGGCCAAAAAACCCAAGGTGGTGGAGAAAGTGAGGGCAGGCACGCCCCCTCCCCCTCCCTCACCGCCCCCACCAGGTAAAACATGTGATTTAATACAGAGAGGACTGGATACATTTAAAAAAGAAAGCATTTTTCTCAGTTAAAAGTTTCAATTACAAACTTGGAATAAATTAATTTATAAATTTTGAGTAATCTTATCTTGAAATTAATTTTGTGATTTAATGGGAATGATGTTCATTTTAATGTAAATTCAACTGTAGTTCATTTGGTATGTCATAAGCAGTAAATAAAGAAGACAATGGCACTGGTGCTCTTTTATAACTATTTTTCCCAAAATGCAAAGAACTTAACTATAGTTTGTATTTTACATAGAAATCATAAAAGTGATAGATTCTTCAACACAATTAAAACTGAATGAGACAGAAAAAGAACTTGAAGACCAAAAGGTACCTACCAAAATTTAACAAAAGTTATAGTCGTAGAACGTACATGTATATGTGCATTTTCTTTACATATCTTAAACATAGTTGCATTATATCTAAACATCTGTATTTGTGCATGTACCTCCAAGTTTTTCAGTACCTGTACATGCGATACAATGATTATTTTACAGGCAAAGCTTCAAAAGATGAAGGATGAAATTAGAAGCCTTGAAAGACTACTGAGAATAGAGAAAGGTAAATTGTATATTCCACGTACACAAGCACTGCAGATCCATGTTTCTTAGATTTACAGTCTGTTTGTTTCTACCAGAGTCAAGAACTACTGTAAACCAACCATTATTCATAATTCATCAGATTGAAACCCACTTGTGACAATTAATGTTTATGACTGGGAATATACTCTAAATGAAGGCTGCGAGCTTTCTATGTAAGCCAAAGATTGTGCTCTAATAGCCTAATAGCTGCACATGCAATGCATCTGGTCTTTTAATGCAATGACCATCAGGTCTATATTGTAACCATTTTCATACTAGGTCATGATTATGTACTTCAAAAATAGTTAAAAATTAAAGAAGTCAAGTTTTTATTTATTACACCTACAGAGAGAGTTCGTCAGTTGAGGTTAGATCTGGAGGATGCCATTAGACGAGCAGAAGAGGCAGAACTAACAGTGGCTATAGAACAACCCCAGCAAGACCCCGCACCAGAGGTCCAGGTTAGACACTGTGTTACATACTCTGGGGAGTCATTTTATTTTAAATTAGGGGTGGGGGTCGGTTAGAAGATGATATTTCATGAGTAATGCTTTTAGACAAAGGATTCATTGAATCAGTAAGTTGACAAAATAAGTATTTCATAGGGATGTAGATTTGAGGGTTAGGTTGACCCTTGAAATTCACAAACATTGGTCTCCCATCATGAAAAAAATCCTGTCAAGTAATCATGAACGTGTCACTAATATTGATTCCATGATTATGTTGAAATGATTGGGATTATAAATATCATGAATTTATCAGGTATAATGAATAACTTTTAAATAATGAATTGGAACTGTTGGTTCTTGGCATTTCACTTTAAAAACATTTTTTATTGCATGTGGAATAAGGGTAGACTTGATAGACTGTATAATTGATCAAAATGTACAGCAATGTTAAAGTTAATTCCCATGTTACTGTGCAAATTCAAGAGCAAAAATAGTTTTATTGTTATTTTTGAATAATTATGCATGGTGTTAGCAGATATATTTATCATTCAGATTGTAGAGACTGGGGATAAAGACAGCACATACTACAAAACTCTCCTGGCTGGAATGAAGAGAGACTTTAATGCTGAGCTGGAGAAGATCAAAGGTCACCTTGTCAAAGAGAGGCTGAGGTAATTAGGTATCCAATAAAACCAAAACTCCACAAAGACAGGACATTATGTGTGTATGTATGTGTGGAAAATTAGCTTTATAGCATAACTGTTTCTTCTATATTCTCAGTTTTGGTGCATATTCTCAAGTACATAGAATTAAACCATGATTCCATATCAAATACTGTGAAATCACTAATTTTTGTACGGGTTAATTTTCGTTGTTTTCGAGGTATAGGAGACCCACAAATTCATGCCTGCCGCGAAATGTAATATTTCATATGCACAACTACTAAAAAGTTTTTCATTCATGAAATCAAATCCCCATGAACCAACATTTTTTCCTCAAACCATGAAAAAATTGACCCAACGAAAATATGTGATTTTACAGTAATTATATATTTTGTATGGCATAAAACACTTAAGAATGGAAATACATCTATATATTTATGCAGTAAACGTAAGTTACAGGGTTACAGATGGGCTGACTCATCTCAAGTGACAGTGCATGACAAAAAGAGTAGGATACCTTGAATTTTCCTTCAGTCGGGTTCATGATATTCTAGTTTGACTGCACAAAAACATGAGTATAGTTTCAAAGTAGCCTCTTTTATAATTGTACAGGAATGCAGCAATGGTGAAGAAAGTAGAGAACACACACAAGGAACAGATGTTTGCTCTCCAGAAGGACGTAGTCCGAGTACTCCGGGCCATCATGCACTTCCGGGATCACGTCAGTACTATAGTAGAAAAAGAGAGCCTAAAGGACGTCTCACGGGCGATGCAGGCCCTGGGCTCCCTCATACCTGACAAGGTGAGAACCTGGCGGGGTAAAGAATAAAACAGAGTGTAAGAGAATGTCATGAAGCGAGACATGTTGAATTATTGATAATGAGTAGGATTGGTGATTAATTCTGTGTTGTTTAACTATCAATCTTCAAGCCTACTCATTATCAATAATTAATACATTTTCATGCAACACTTTGATTTGCAAAATCATCCAAGCAATTGAGATTTATTAGTAGATTTTTAATGCTTTATTTATTAATCGGAACCTTTATTATGTATGTGTTTAAAAAAAAATATTGCAACATTACCTACATAGGATTATGTAATTTTATTAAGCTAATAACTGTTGCCTTCTTTTTTTATGCAGTTAGCTCTGGATCCAAAGGAACTACTGGCCTTACTTGTTGGAAGTGTTGTAGAATGTATGTCTAATATTCAACAATATTTTAGATGTTTTAAAACACAGAATGAAAGATATGGTGTTTTTTCTTAAATGAAAAGATGCAATGGATGATGACCTAAAATTCTATTAAAAAAAAGATAATAAAATGTTTTATGCAAGGATAATATATTACATGTATATTTAGTATACTTATTTATTTTATTTTTAGCTCACCTCAACGAAGTTGGGGGGAGCTTATGTGATACCCTCGGCGTCGGTGTCGGTGTCGGCGTCGGCGTCCCGGGTTAAGGTTAAGTTTTTTGGAGCAGTTTTCTTTTTAAGTACTTCTATGTCCTATATTGATTAGACATGCATGGAAGATGTTGCTAGTGTGTTTCATTGTACCAGTCAAAGTTTCAGATGCTGCAATTTCAGCAAAGGAATGACCAGGTTAATGTTTTTGGTGCAGGTTAACATTTTTGGTGCAGTTTTTGGTGTAGGTCTCATTTCCGAGTAACTATAAGCCCTATGTTGACCAAACTTACATGGATGATACATCTTAGGATGCATACTACCAGCCTTGCTTCGGATGCTGAATCTGACCTACATTTTCTGGTTGAGTGAACAGGTTAAAGTTTTTGGTGATGGTTTCATTTTGAAGATACTTTGAGCCCTATAATGACCAAACTTGCATGGATGGTACATCTTAGGATGTATTCTACTAAACTTGCTTCGGATGCTGAATCTGACCTACATTTTCCGGTTGAGTGAACAGGTTAAAGTTTTTGGTGCAGGTTTCATTTCCAAGTTACTATGAGACATATAATGACCAAACTTACATGGATGATACATCTTAGGATGCATGCTACCAGCCTTGCTTCGGATGCTGAATCTGACCTACATTTTCCGGTTGAGTGAACAGGTTAAAGTTTTTGGTGAAGGTTTCATTTCGAAGATACGTTGAGCCCTATAATGACCAAACTTGCATGGATGGTACATCTTATGATATAATCTACTAGACTTGCTTCGGATGCTGAATCTGACCTACATTTTCCGGTTGAGTGAACAGGTTAAAGTTTTTGGTGCAGGTTTCATTTCCAAGTTACTATGAGACATATAATGACCAAACTTGCATGGATGGTACATCTTAGGATGCATATTACAAGACCTGCTTCGGATGCTGAATCTGACCTACATTTTCCGGTTGAGTGAACAGGTTAAAATTTTGGGTGCAGGTTTCATTTCCAAGGTACAGTACTATGAACCCTATAACGACTAAATTGCATGGATGGTACATCTTAGGATGCATACTACCAGCCTTGCTTCGGATGCTGAATCTGACCTACATTTTCTGGACGAGTAAACAGGTTAAAGTTTATGGTGCAGGATTCATTTCCAAGTAACTTTGAGCCCTATAACGACTAAATTGCATGGATGGTACATCTAAGGGTGCATTCTACTAGGCTGGCTTCGGATGCTGAATCTGACCTACATTTTCTGGATTAGTGGAAAGGTTAATTTTTTTATACAGGTTTCATTTGCAAGTAACTTTAAGCCCTATGTTGACCAAACTTGCATGGATGATACATCTTAGGATGCACACTAATGGACTTGCTTCAGATGCTGAATTCGACATACATTTTCCAGATAATAGACCTCGTAAAAGTTATGGGTGCAAGTCTATCACCAAGAAACTATAAGGCTTATATAAACCAGTTGCACAAATGATGCATCAAGGGATGAAAACTCTCAATCTTGCTTCAGATGCTGGATTTTAATTACATTTTCATGATGAAGAACTAGTTTTTAGTTTTTATATAGGTCTATTCCAAAGTATCAAATTTGCATAAATTTTGCATTTTTGGATGTACACTTTTTGTTGGTTAATTGTGTGACTTAATTTGCCTTACTTAAAGACAACACACGTTGAGGTGAGCTCTGTAATCTCTGATTACCTATGTTTTCAGTTATGCACAAATTAGAAGTAATAATCGCCAATGCCTTCCTGACAATGAGGATGATGATTAAGGGATCTATCACCCTGTCTACCACGAAGGAAGTAGTCGCCGCGCGGCGGACAGAAAACAAGGCGCGAATGGAGGAGGCCAAGGTACAGTACAGAACAAAAGCATCACCAGGAAGGGATGTGTGATATGAATTACTTATGATTAAAATACTTTTTGTATGTTACACTGTGAATCTTAAAGCATGTTTTGTTTTGAAAAATTTTAGATATTTTTATTAATAAACTGAAGAAAAAACCTTCATATTTTACAGAAAACTATGAGGCAAATTGATTTTTCAAAAACAGAGACAAAGAAGTTGGCGCTGCGACTCAAAATAGCCAAGGAAAAGCTGATTAAGTTTGAAGAACTTACAGAGAGACAAGAAGTCCATGTAAGTTACTCAAAATCTTCATATAACTTAACGAGGCCAGATCTAGTTGAAAATTATGAAAACGGAATGATAAAAATTTTTAATTCTTGGAAATATATTTGTTTGTTTCCAGCTAAGAAAACTTAGAATAAAAATTTGTTACCTTGCCTTTATTGTAGTCAAATGGGGGCACTGTCAAGATATGGACCATTTTTCGTGTTTTTATACACAACTATACACTAAAACTCTCCAATAAACAAAGAAATTGACAAATTAAAAAAAATAAATGATGAAATGCTTTGTTTTTCACATATATCATGCAATTTTCATTCTTCTTATAAAAAATGAAAAGAAAATTGGAGGTAGCCTTTATTGCAGTGAAAAGGGGGCATGTCAAAACACAAAATCTGGATTTATTTTATCCAACTAGGTATTTTATATAAAGTCACAACGGGTTAACATAACATTAACAAACGATTGCAATACTACATTAGTTTCTAAAAAATAAATAATTCTTACATTGTGAAACAATTTTCTCGCCATGCTTTATTTTTCTCTTAACACGCGACATTGTTTTATGTGGAAAAAAGGGGCAGAGGGAGGAAAAGGGGGGGGGGGGGCGTAAAGGCGACAAAATTACAATTTTTACTAATACATGTATCATGTAATATATAGAAAAATTAAATATTCGGGGGTTGCATTTAAATAATTTATAGACTTATTTTTTAAAACTGAAGCTAATCCATGCATATTTAAGTGCTCAGCAAAAAGAGTGTGTATAAACACTTCAACATGGTCAAGGAGAAAGACTAGAATCGTTTACTTTTGGTTGCAGTGTTTGTTTTTTTAAACTCACAAATTAAAATAAAACAAGATAAAATTAATGAATCCGAACCAAAAAATTGATCCCTCAAAATTAATTATGTTCCAAAATTGTTTATTAATTAAAACAGATATTTAACAAAATGTAAATACATGTATTAGAAATGCCAGCTTTCAACATGCACAGTCTATAGAGCTACCAGGTAAGCAAGATCAGCGAAACATTTTAGCGCAATTTGACGTCATTTTAATTGTGACGTTAGTGTGTTCAATTGTGACGGCAGTCAAGGGTATTGTGACGTGCCTGAGTCGACATTGCGTTAAAACGTATGCGCAGATCAAGTAGATCGGGCCTCGTTAAATATAGACAAGAAGTTTATGTAAATTACCTAAGTACTTCAGATCCAGTGTTAAAGTGATGGAGAAAAAAATATTTTGGAATTTACAAAGGGACAAAACTCTGTTTATTCTCTATATAGACATCTTGAAATTTATATTTTAAGTCCATTGAGTATTTCACACTATTATGCTGTACAAATAATAAATTTATAAAAAGTTCAAGGAAATTTAAAGTTAAGAATTATGGCTTATGAAACTTGTAGTTGTTCATATGTTGCCTTTTGAACTTGGTTGATGATATCTGTGAACTAGAATAAAAAAAAAAAAAATATGACTGACAGTGAAGAACAGCTTTTTACATGTTTTATTTTTTTAGTTCTTTAATACTTTTAAATACCTTTGGTGTAGGATAGAAAATATCTGGCCCTGTTGGACAGATACCGGCGAGTGTGGAAGATGTACAACAACCTGAATAAAGATATGACTCTCTTGTAAGTAAACCTCAACTTCACTCAGCTTACTGTATCTCTGAAATTGAAGGTTGAATTAAAGAATATTTCTCAAGTGAAAATATAATTTTTATGTTTATGCATATTTTTTTTATGTTTAAAGATGTATACACATACTTTAAATTGAAATCTAGAACTTGATCACCTCCCTCCTTTTTAAAACAACCATAGTTTTAAAAAAATTGGATAAATCAATTTGGTATCTTCAGAAATATTGATGCCTCAAAACATCTGTTAGTATTAGCATTTCATAGCATATTTCATACTTTCAATATTAATTGTCATTACACAAACCTGTCAGTGTGTGATAAGAAGCTGGCTAGCTGTTTTTAACTATTAAACGAGACAATATACATTTACAGTGCAGAGTTATCCTTCTTTCTCAGCCATCTCAGCAGTGAACACGACTCATATCAAGATTTTTACCTAAAGTGAAAAGGGCAAAAAACTTAAAAAATCAATTCACATTAAAGTCATATTTATAGGAAAACTGAGTACATATCCATTTAAAGTAATATACGCTATAACGTGCGCCATTTTAAAATACGGCTGGAAATTTATATATTTTGTTTACCAATAAAAGTTACAAAAATGCTGTAAATTACACCATTTAAATAAAATTCGTTATAAAGTTATCAAATTATAATTATTTATTATCCTGCAAGGAGAATAATGTCTATTTTTAAGTAAATCCACCACGTGACGCCGTCGCTACTTTTAGATTGATAAACAAACACGGCGTCAAGAAAACGAGGTAAGCCCTTTGAGATACAACTCACTTTTGACATGGATGGCGTGTTACTATTAATATTACTTATCTTTAAATGTAATCAGTATCAACCATCTATACTCTGTTATGACGCATATTAACCTTTTATTAATAATCGTTGTCAAAATGCAACGTGCCTCGTTGTCTATAATTTCCCGTGGACATACGTGTCTATATTTAGACCTACTGTTTACGCACTTCCTTTATCAATATTCATGAAAAGACTGAATTCTTGATTGCAGATATTGCTTTATTGTTCTGTTATTACAACGAGTTTTATAGTTAAATTTTGTGGAAATATTATTTTTTCATTACACTTTATGTGTTTCAGATCATTTAATCATTTTGTTTCACATACAAATCGGCATCCATACGGCGTATATTACTTTAAAAAATTGTAATAGTGAATTAAGAATGATTTCAATATATTATGCATAATTTTAGGGATATTAGAGACCTGTAATGACAGAAATGAATGCTTGTTCTTTTTATCATGTCACTGAATTTGAAGTTTAATTACAGTGTATAATGTAATTTTTTTAGCCTTGGAAGAAGTAAGTAGAACACTGCACTGCTAACTTGTTGCTTATATGCTTGTTATAGATGGTGTGTGTTTTGCATGAACTATGTTCCTTTTAACTCAAAATCTTTTTAAAATCTTTCTAAAACTAATGTAGTCAGCAAATTCTTAAAATCACAAGTCATTAACCCTTTTGTCTTGAGTAGTACATCACTTGTCTGATTATTTATGTGTTACATAAAATTTTTAACATTTGTTTCAGTATTTTATCCAAGTGTAATCATAGAAGAGCATTATATAATGCTTTAGTTCATATTAAATTTGAGGAAGTTATGCAAAATTGTAATTATATTTCTATCAGCATGTTAAATGTTTTTAAGATATTCAAAGTAATCAGCTGAGATTATGTACAACATTTCATGAAGTGTCTAATTGTATAAATAATCTCTGAGGTATAACATGTATCCTCCTATACTTATACAGACAATCAGACCTCCAGGAAGCTGTCGATGAGAAAGCTAAAGAGCAGGAGAATCTTATTGTGTCCCAGATCAAAATGGAACTCAGGAATGTAAGTACCAATAAACATGTGAGAATCGGGGAATAATATACACTTATCCACTGGGTGTGAGTGGGATAGCTCTTTTATCAAACCCGCGACAGAGAACTATTCCCCGAGGGCTTGCCCGAGGGGAATAGTTCCTGTCAAGGGTTTGATAAAAGAGCTATCCCACTCACACCCAGTGGATAAGCGTTTTATTATACTGATGTATAATATAATTTCTGAGGTTTGAATTTTTTTTGGAGTAAGATAATTCTGCAAGAATAATCTGAAATCCTGATGACGTCACAATGCTACTGAAGTCATTATGACATCATCAGCTTAAAGAGTTATCGCTGGAAATCAAAATTGGCGACAACAATTGCATGAAAATTTTCCGAGGGTGGATAGCAAAAACTATACCCCGTGGTATAGCTTTGCTATGCGTGGACTATAAAGGATAGTTGTTTTACCTTCTGAACTTTATATAGGAAACATTTTAACAGAAGTATAATAAAAACAAATAGATACTCAATTTTTGTAAGATCTTTGGAAAACGAGAAGAATTTTATGTACATTGTGAGATGTGTTATTTTTGTGGTTTACAGAGGATGAACCTCCAGGATAAAGAACTAGAGATAAGTGTGAAGGACCAGAAGAAGAATATCAGAATGTTAGAGGAGGCTTATGAGAAGAACAAGATATCCAAAAATCTGTATTACGTAAGGCTCTCTTAAGTCCTCTGATCTGTTTTACAGAACACAATACTAGCTGCTTATCTATGTATTTGACACTTATTACACCTTGTACCATTAATATTTGAAATGCTCATGATGTTGACTTATTCCTATTAGCTCCTTGGAGAGCATAGGGCCGAAACCACATGATGTTACCTAAAAGTTAACTGTATGCAGAGAATTTTTGTACCAATTGGTTTGATCAATATTAAAACATATATAAGTATTGAATATATATTTATCTGCAGGCAGTGCTGTCTTTACTGGAGAGATCATTGGACATACCCAGAAAGAGGCTGCGTTTCATGATGGAGCAATACATTGCCTTTAGATCTGTAAAAGATACTAGAGGTACTGTCAATGTTTATATATTGTACAACAAAGTAACAGCAAACATACTTGCAGGGAATAAAAATCACTTTAAATTAAGCATAAATTCATTCATAATGACTTTTGACTGAGTTTATGGTGATTTTGAGTTTATGGTGATTTGAAACCAAAATTACTACATGTATGTATTAATTTGAGAGAGAGCCATGACATTGTGAACTTAATAGCGAACAAACCCCTTTTTCATTAAGCTCGTGTTAAGGAGATACTGAGAGGAGAGGATCTGAGTAAACACGTGAGGCGGGACATGGAGCAGTACGTCAAAAGAATTGATGAGAAGCTGACAAAAAGCACCAATACCTGGCACACCAACATGGACTTCCTTCAACAGGAGAGACGGCACCTCTTCAAATCTATTTGGAAAATGTAAGCTTTGGGTTAATTATTTCAGTATCCTATACCATTTACTTAAACTTCAACAATGATGTGCATTACTGTTTTGAAACTAAAACTTGTACTATTATTATGTGAAATATGTTATTAAAATTGCCATGGCATAGCTTATTGATATCCCCATCTTCTTATTAAAATTGCCATCTTCTTAATATTAAAATTGCCATCTTCTTAGTAAAATTGTCATCTTCTTAATATTAAAATTGCCATCTTCTTAATATTAAAATTGCCATCTTCTTATTAAAGTTGCCATCTTCTTAATATTAAAATTGCCATCTTCTTAGGTTTGGTGAGGTGTTTGCGGAGTCTGGGTTACTACTTGTTCATCCATTATTGAATCAGATTGCATATGACAGAACAGAGGTTTACAGCAAGATAGCAGCAACCGTCAAAAGAAAGACACTCAAAAAGCTTTGTCTGAAGGGTCATAAACGTGTGTCAGAGTTCCTTCATCTTCCTACATTTGTCGAGGGCTCCAGCGTGTTGTCCAGCATGACAGACGAGCAGTCACTGTGGAACGCTCAGGTGAGTCAATTAACATGACAGACCAGCAGTCCCTGTGGAACGCTCAGGTGAGTCAATAAACATGGCTGTCAAGGATGATGGCATTTCTTAAAGTAAATCTGCAAAGAGTTAGTTTTGTGAAATTTGTATCAATTTACCAGTAATACCATGCAGGGACAAACCCATGAATTCTGGCTTTGACATTATGAATAGCAATGGATGTACATACTCAGAAGTATTTTATTTATCAGTCTAATAAAGATTTTTATAAGTCTTAAGGGTTTGATTTATTGAAAAGGTATAGAAAATATTTCTACTTTTAGTTTTCTTGTGGAGATGATGCAACAAATACCCCCTTAGCTGTCTCTCCCCATCTACTTAACTACGACATCAATAGAGAACGCATCCAAGCCAAAAGGTAACTGCCAATGACAACAAATTAATACAATTTCTAAAAAATTTGATGCAAATTTTTTCAGACTTCTTTAATAATACTATGTATTTTAAACCTGTGTTTTAGGAGTTTAGAATTTGGCTCAGATGCGCGTAAACCACTACACCTTCCCATGACAAGGAATTATTACATTTCAACCAAACAGGAGTGTGTGTCTGTCTGACCAGCCGGACCTCTGTATATCATCATACTGCAGTTTACTGGGAGGTCCGAGGAACATTGAACTGTGTGCAGAGACACAATATGTTTCCTTGGAATAAAAATATCAGTACAATGTCATTGCAAGATAAATTAAAAAATATATCTAACATAAATAAATATATTAAATATTATTGTTGTTGATATTTATTATACCTTTTTGAGATTGACATATCTGCTAGGTAAGCAAATATACCCTTATCACTTGCAAATGGGGTTGATATCTCCCAAGTTTATCAGCTACACAAAGGCATGCTTCATGTCCTAAAGTGAGATAAGCTGTTGACAAACAAGTTAATGTAACAAGGATTTAAACAATCTCCTTAAATATCTTTGTTTTGCACGTTATATGGCCGATACAATGACCTTGTTGGCAAATACAATTTGTCATTAAGTTGAATGCTGACTGCATGTTTTTCAAATTAATTGTTAGGCCATTTATTACTTGTTGAATTGTCTTCAGATATTTCCCCCCTGCTCTATTTATATGTTCATGCTTATTGATTTGTTTGGTTTATACGGACTTTTAAGCATGATTACTGATCGTCATCTTCGCATTTCTTATTTGAAAAACTTGTAACATTTATTTAATCTAAAACATTATTCGTAATACAGCTATATGTGGTTTTTATGAGAAAATATGTACATGCATATGTAAACGAAAATTCAGGGGATTATGAACCACAGCTTTCAAGGCATTATTGGTAAGGATGCAATTATTTATGGCATAATTTTAGTCTTTTTTTCCTAGGATGTCTGTCCATCATATTTCTGATCGGTTGTTACAATGCGGTATATGGTACACCCCCCCCCCCGATTCCAGTATAAATGGCTTTATTTCCCTATATACAAACAAAATTTATAGATTTGTCTTCCTCGCTACCATTATTTCCTCTAACTGTGTTACTTATCCCCGTCAAAATAGCATTTGATAGCATTTGGGGATCTTGCATGTCGGCAACTTTTTGGAGGTCGGTAATTTTTAAGAAGTAGGGGCCCAAAGCCACATTAAATATTGATTTATTAAACCTTATGTATATTTTGAACACAAAAAGGGGGTGGGCAGACCTAGTACAACTTCTAAGTCCTTTCTGATGAGCGGGAAAACAAACTCATTATTTTTACGGGGTCATTCATATACACCTCCCCCCAAACATACAAACATATGTACCACAAACAAACAAAATTTAACTTCATTGAATGCAAAGATTCTGCATTATATCTACCACATGAAACTATCCAGAAAACGATCGACTCTATTTTGAATAAAATTTTAACAGCCAGTGTGTATAAGAGATGTTTATTCGAGCTTGCCGTAAAGGTTTGCCCTAAACGTAATCTTAATATTTTTTTTTTTTACATATTATTTCTCTTTCCATGGTTCATTTAGACATCAAATATTTGCTTCCCCCAGTCATATCATTTTTACTACGGAAATGATCGTTAAAGTTCACATCCTCACACATTTGTGAATGTAATTAATGTAGTAAGTTAATTTAAAAAAAATAGTTCTATACTTACCCCCCCATCCCGAATCAAACAATTGTTTTCTTTTTGTGTTTACACCCCCCCCCCTCTCGAATCAAAAAATTGTCTTCTTTTTGTGTTTTTGCTTGTCAAATACTTTAAAGTTCGTTTACACACAAATCACTTTCAAATTCGATTCTAGGTGACTGGTATAATGTTAGTGATTTTCGTAAATTATAAGAGACTGAGTATGACAAAATCAATTTGTATTTAATAGTGGGGGATCCAATGTGTACAAGATATATCGTTTATGATAAAATTTGTGTATTTTAAGTGATTTAATCCAAAATAATATATTCCGTTATCGTTTATGATAAAATTTGTGTATTTTAAGTGATTTAATCCAAAATAATATATTCCGTTTTCCGTTCCGTTCCGCGTTTTAGCAACACCCCTGTGTTTGTGTGTGTGTGTGTGGGGGGGGGGGGGGGGGTACTAATGAAAACATATCTACTAATGTAGCAGTTGATAAACTTATTTTTTTCTTGTCAAGGAATTTTTACTAGTTGATAGTGCCCCCAACTGAAAATGTATTTCTGTGCCCCCCCCTCCCCCCTCCACCCCAACCAACTGAAATTGCTTCCTAAGTCCTGTTAAGTAAAGCATTTACGGGATAACACGGAGCGCAAGCTTTAGCTTGTTTTCGTAATGTCCAAGGTTGACGGATGGAGATGTGCATAGAGTGATCCTGAATGCCCCTTGTTTAACGTAAAACTATTACAAGGTTCTATTTCCAAGGTCCTTATAAAATATAGGTACTTATTAATATTAATACATCAACATTTTTTATGCAGTAGTATATATGTTGAAAAACATATACAGGTTTTTCTCCAGTTGTCTATTTCTTTTTATTTTCAAATTTGGATCAGGTGGGGCTGCGTGTTTCTAGTGGAATCTTATAGGAAGACTGTAGAGTAAAGGACTTTTTAAAGAAGCTACCAGTATATATCTAGAGCATTGGTTGATCCAGAAGGGAAAGGAGTGCCGGGTACGGAGTTGCACCCCACACCTGGGGCATAAAACACATAATGAATCCCTGATTAAATTTTTGAAAAAAAATAATGGTGAAACGAAAAAAAAAGTATATATTTATGGAATACCATAGAGGAGTGATACTTTATATTCCGTTTTATTTTCGCCCTGTTCCAACAGGGCGAATTTAAAACGTGACGAATTCAAACAACATAGTATAATTTCTTAAACAGGACCATGCATGACTGGGCGAATTTAAAACGGGGCAAAATTCTTCGCAGGTGCAAAAGGGCGAAAATAACCCTAGCCTGTATACAGTGATAAGTTTTATTTTACGAAAAAAAACAATATTAAGTTTCATTTAATTTCAAGACTCTTGGTGGAATTCTACAGGAACAGAGAAAACAATAACGAGATGGAATTATTTTTCCTTAAACATGTTATATTAATTTTAACAGAATATATTCAATTTTTATATTTAGCCAAAATTAGCGGCAATGTATAACTGCATGTGAGTACTTGAAAGAAACGTGTAAAAGTGGAATACAAAGTGGGGGTTTGGATTTCGGTGCCATTTTTGCGATCGAAGAATTTTAAGAAAGTTAAGGAAATAATGTTTTCATGTTTGTTTTTTATTACTAGTATTTTAAATATAATTCATTGAAATCATTATGATGCTGTATATATACATCTTTTATTTCAGGTGGACTTAATATTTCACAATTCTTATAAATTTAGCTAGGTATCTTTCATGGTTTTTGTAATTTTACGGTCATTGAATTCCTCTTTTCTTTACATTTTCAATTTTGATATTACTGGGATATTAAATAAGTTGTACATAGCAAATTATTTTACTGCGTATTTAGCGTTATTCTCAACCCTTTGTTTATTAGTTTGTGAGAGGAAATAACCAGCTATAATAAACAGTGATAAATGCGTCTCATTCACATGAGTAATTTTCTGTAAAGACATCATTTTGTTTGGATATTATTTCATTTAGCAGCGTTTTTTAAGGTTGAATGAGGTGGGTGTGTGGTTACATTTTACCTGAAAAAAAAATCCTGGCTACAAGAGTCTAACCCCCCCTCCCCCACTACCCATTACTTTTGAAAACAAAATCAGGTACGTATAGCATACAGGGTCCAGGAGGTCAAATGATTACTTTATATATACATAGGGATCTATATAATAGAATATAACAAATACATTAGATATGGGCTAGTTTCGATCGGGCTCGGTGTTGCTCTAACGCAGGTGCGCATGAGTGCCGAACATACCGGTGTGTGGGTGACAGATGAATGGGTAAGTGTGAAAGGAGCATGCATATTTTTTTTTCTGTTGGACTTTGTTGGTCAAGACAACACATTTACTCTATTAAACTTAGAAAATAGCCACTATTGTTTTTAAACCCAACTTCAAGGGAAACTGTGCCCGTTGTCACGGAGTTGCATAAATTTGATTGGGAGTGCATGTGTACTGGATCAGGCCACAGTGGAGTGATTTTGTAACCGGTGAAAAAGTATAGTGTGAGTTTAGTTTCCGCTTAACAATGAGATCTTGTACTCAGTACTAGCTTGTAAGTATAAATGCTACACTTTTAATGGATCACACCTGAACAATTATAAAAAGATTTGTAGAAATAGAGAACGCCCTTAACAACAAACTAATATTGACACTTTTCATTGGGAGAAATGATTTTTAAAACAAATACATCACACTAAAAATTATTGCAAAGTCATGATAAAAATAATTCATGTCAGAAAATTAAGTAAATTTTAGCTGTCAGCGTTTTGGTTGTCAATCAGAATTTTCTTATAGATTCAGCCTGTCGATCATTCAGACACTAAATGAGGGAAATGCTGGTTAAGAATACCCTATGAAACTTGTGCATATGAGAGATGAATTATTTAACATAATTTTGTAGGGGGGGGGGTCATTTAGTAGCGAAAATAATATTTTTTATTTTTTGCAAAAGCTGAAAAAAAATACTGGTTCCAGTATCATGAATTAACCAAATATATGCTACATTGAACATTTTCATGTGTTAATTGTAGACATACATATGAATGACAAGTAAGAATGAAATTCATGTACTATAGACATGTACACAAAGTACACCCTGTTTCAGAATTTTTTCATTGTTCTAATGTCATTGATTATTGCTTATAAATAGAGATCTTATGCATGTAATTGTGGTATACTGATCGAACAAACATATCCTTTTCAATTCATTATAACAATGAATATTGGTGTTAATAATATCTCAAACATGCATGAAATTCCCAAAATACACTGTTTATTTATATATTAGCAAGCAAAAAAGCATTTTTTTTCACTGGGTAATTTTTTATGACTTTATGTGTTTAAAGGAAACTGTATTTGTTGTCCTTGTGAGCATAAAGTATGTTTATTATAGAAAAAAAAAACTGATGACAACTACTATTTAAAGTATTATTCTTAAATCCAGAGATTTTTTAACAACAGCTACTTGAATTACTTAGTAGATTGATATTTATATAATATTTCATGTATTCATCTAGATACATGTATCTATACAGGCATTGATAACTTCACCATGGCGCAGTGGTTTGAGAGTGGCAGAGTAGGGAGTTGATCCTTACGTCACAGATTAAAATTGATATTGGACATGGAGAGCAAGAATTTGGATGAAATCATACAAACTAAAGTCCCTTGTCACAGTATATCCTGCCACTAAAATAATCCCTATTAAAGGTACTTGGACACAGATTTGAAGTTAATATTTTCCTTATATATTTTAATGGTATTTCACACAAAAATTAATTAAAAATCTTATTTCATTTAAAAGTTATTAAAACTTTAAATTTTTTGGCGGGTTTGATTGACACATTCTTGTCCTTTCACAAATTTTAACTTTATTCTTAATCCTTAGGGAAAGTGGCAATTTTGATGTGTTTTAATGAGAAATATTAAAACTTTTATCAAGAAAAGTAATTTTATTCAGTGTAGAAATGTTAGAAAGCAAAACACCTTCACAAATATCGTCATTCCGAACTAAGAGATGCGTACAGAGTTTAGCAAATCGAGCACACTCGTGTTATGTACACAGTTTTTGTAAACAGGGCTCGAGTTCTGTTATTGTTTATATTTAGAATTCACCGACTGACCATATATTGTGTGTTTGTTTTCATTTCGAACGTGTCTACTCTGAATTTTCTGGATTATAGTATTAATATTTTTCATTTATACAAAACGAGATTGCCACTTTTCCTAAAGATTAAGAATAAAATTAAATTTGTGAGAGTGCAAGGATATCCCGCCGAAAAATTTGAAATTTCAATATCTTTTAAACGCTACTAAAATAATAATTTCCCTATTTTAAAATACATGTACTGTCTAAAGGCATAAATGCCAGGTCTAAATTTGCAGCCTCTATCGACAAGTGGTGGCATCTTAATATACTGCATGCGTAAATGAAAAATTCTCAAAGAAAGATATTTATGAAAAGCAAAAATGATAAAAATAAAATTGTTAGGTAAATTTAACTGTATGTAAAATGCATAAAAAGCCTTGTTTACCAAGTTGTTATGTTGAAGATTTCCTTTTGGGCTTTGGGGTTAGATAAGATTGTGTGATATTGTCACATAAGGGGAGATATATAAAACAATTATTTTATGTAAAGCTGATTAGAGATCTAAAATTTAAACCTTCCGTTAATCAGTTTATGTTTAATTACCAGAAGGTGATCTGGAACATTGCCTTATGTGGACTTTAAATTGCGCATGATGCACAACATGTCAGATCAACATGTGGCAGTTGTTTATTACTGATGGTAAAAGAAACACAAGTTTCAAGGCCATGCAGTGTGAACTCTCTTTTCAGTCTTTTGATTATGAAGATATTTTATTGTATAAAAGTTTTATTGCTTAATTCTTGTTGTACAATGACATATTTAAGCAGTCACCTTATAAACAAGTATTTTATGCATCTGAGGTATATTCTAAATTCTAGAGTGATATTGCAAGAAATCTGAACCCCTTTAAAGTTACTTTAGTAGCTACAAATGTATGCATTTTAAGAAAAAAAAATTTACATGCCACATTAAAGAAATCCTCACTTGAATTTCTCTGAAGGTGTCAAAAATTAAATCATGATCAAATTACAATCTTGATCCATATATAAAAAGTATAATAACAATAAACTTGTTTATAGCGAAGCTCTTATCATTTATTAGCATATATATATGTGTGATCTTCATTGAAATAGTTTATCTCTAGTTTTGCCTAATTTTGACGCCCCCTCTAACTCCAAATCCTGGATCCGCGCCTGGTGATCTTCATTGAAATATTTTATGTTTGATCGATCATGCTGGCATTTTGAAATTGGACAATCAAGAAATCGGGAAAGCATGAATCTCTTCATATACCTGATTATACCTGGTGTAAAGGTGAAGAATTACCTGTGGGGTGATCTTGAGTCACTGAGCTGATCTTTATTTGCATTGCTTTCTGTTTTTAAAATTGTCAATGTTCAGAGAGCATTATTTTTATAATTTCCTATTTCTTCGGAACAACTGGACAAATTTAAACCAAACATTCTATATAGGATCAATAGGTGATGGAATTTTTGTTTAGTCTAAGGTGCATGACTTTTTACTATAATGGAAGAATAACAAAAATACTGTATTTTTTAATGAAAAAAGGTACATATATATTATGTATGTGTGTATGTACACAGTGTTTTCCCTAACAACTGACTACCGGCCAAATTGACCGTTTCAATTAATAAAAATGCCGCTTTGAAATAAAAATTTGTTGTTAGGTCCACAGAGATTTTGTTCATAAACCTCAGCCCCTAGCCTGTTACAACTTATCTCTAACCCTTTACTTTGAAGTAAAGGGAGAACACTGTATACATATTTTATTATATTTATTTGTCCTTTAATTTGTTTATTAAATTCTTTTCACTGGACAAGCTCCAGTGTGACAGGAAATACAAGGACATTGTGTTTCTTATTTCTAGACCTATATATATTGATTGATCAGAATGTTTAAGCATGGCCTTTCAAATTATATCAAAATAACAGACATTCTAGTTACATATAATGATCTGAAGATATAGATGAACTTCAAAATGAATTTTTTGAAACTTAAGTCATAGTAGGTGAAATCTGGTCATTGATTTAATTAATAAAATCTAATTTGTTCTCAAGATCACCTCCCATACATTAAGCTCATTACGTCATCTAGACTTCATGTCGTAGAATGTAATAATAGTTTAATTCTAATAATTCCAGGTATTTGCTGGTAGCTCTGTAAGGTAGGAAAGAGACGCCAACATGGGGAAAGGAGGTCGGAAGCAGCTGGGTAGCTTTTCCTGTCAGGAAGTGGCCAAACATGACAAGCGAGATGACCGATGGATCATCATCAATAATGAAGTCTATAACATCACAGATTGGTCCAGGCGCCACCCCGGGGGCTCCAAGGTCATCGGGCATTATGCGGGACAAGACGCCACCGTAAGTAAATGATGGGGTAATACTGGGGAGCATCAACCGTATATGTATGGGGGTTTCATAAGAACGAGCAGGGTATTTTTGATACATTACCATGATGACAGGGTATATCAGATTTTGTGTGTTGGTATTATTGGGAGTTATGAGAGAAGATGGGCCATACCTTTGTGTAATTATTGAGTAATTATTGATGGTAATTAATCGTAGATGGGCAGAATAGAAGACAGGTTAAAAATGAGGACAGGTATCCAATTTTATTGCAATATTTCACGTACACAGGTTCATCATATACTGAGGGTGTTACTTTATGTTATCACTCAGTGACAGTCTAACGTGTATACCACATTACAGAGAACGGATTTCTTGGTGACCAAAGTATGTTGTTATTTTGTGTCCTTCTGAATGTGCTGTCTTCATAGGGAACTCAAACCAAATATGAAGATAAACAAGAATATATGCCTAGATATGAAATGTACCCATCATAGAGATATTACAAGACATCAGAAGTAGTAAGCACTGACATGTACAGATAACTACATGTATTTAAAAGTGAATAAATTATATTTCACATCTGATCAACTATTAATTAATTAGCAATAGATAATCAGGATAATGTCATCAAGTTTAATGGATGCATATAATATTTTCTATGATCAAGTTAGGATATTACTGGAACATCTTAATGACATGTCAGCAACACTTCAAAGTTTAAACTGAGATAAAAATTGTATTCACATATCCCACTACAAGCATATCAAAAATAATTACACAAAAAGGTCCATGTAATGCATTAATTGTTTATTATGTTTGAGACGCGAAATTGGTATTCCATTGGAATCATAGTCCTTGTTTTCAAAAACTTAATGAAAAGTAAACAGGATATATAGAAGAAGTCTACTTTATTGCTGCTAATTAATCATTAGAATTGATTTTTGGAATGCTTGTAAGCTTATACATGTATTCCAGTTCGACTATTTAGTTAATATCTTGAGTACGTCCACACTAGCATTGAAAGTGTTAACCTTTAAATCTCCAGAGAGTTATGAAACCAATTATTGACCTTATTCCACTGATCAGATTTAATTTTTTTTTTTCATGTATTATAACGGGGTCTTTAATAGACAGGCCTGAACTGGTGACCCTCTGTTACAAAACTACATGTTTCGTTCATGTTTCAGGTAATCCAAGGTCAATCGATCTTTTACATAATTCCATATTGATAAAGAATTGTTTGTGTTTCCAAGGCCTTACAGGTGATTCTTTGATAAAAAAATATACATGTATTTCTACCAAATTAGGTAAAAAAGTTGCATGCCTGTTGGGTAGTTTCTGCATATATACAAATACATGTACCACATCTTTTCTGTATTCAGTTTGATCAAATACACATTTAACCACAATTCATAGTTTAAGAAACAATATCATTTCTAGCTCACATTAGCCAAAAGCATACTCATAGGAGAGCTTTCCTTAAGGACAATTTGTCTGATATCTGTTATGGTAACTTTTTACAGTTTTAAATTCTTAAGTGATTCTGACATAATCTAACTATTTCTCAAAGATTTATCTTTTCTTTTAACTTTCATGAATTAAACAGACATTGGTCTGCTTAAGTTTCTGTGACTTGTTTAAGTGTCAGTAAAAATGAGTTATAAATTCACAGAATCTTACAAATTGTTTTGAATATTTCAGGACGCTTTTCGGGCTTTCCACAATGATTTAGATCAAGTACAGAAGTATTTACTACCTCTCCACATCGGAAGTGTTCAAAAGGGGGAGGTGAACAAAAACTACTCCCTGGAGAAAGATTTCAGAGAGCTACGACAAACTGCTGAAAAAATGGTAATTTAATTGAAAAAGTTGCCTCAAGGGTATATTAATTGTTACTTTTAAATTTTATTGACAGTGAGGCAAATTAGTGAGGCAAAATTTGCCTATGTTTCAAATGTGAAATTGGGCCTTTGAATTAATACAAATCCTCGCATACTTTTTCACAATATACTGTATATACAGGGAAATTTTCGCCCCCGTTTAATTTTCGCCCCTTTCGCCCTACTCTCATTTGGGTGAATTTAAAGGGGGCGAATTGAAAGAATACAGTATAATTTTTTAAACAAAACTATGAATGGGCGAATTAAAAATGGGGCAAAAATGTTTGCAAGTGTAAAAGGGCGAAAATAAGACGGGGCGAAAATAACCCTGTATACAGTAATGATTAATTTTTTAGATAAATACAGATACAGGTAAACTTTGTTATCTCGACATCGATGAGACAGTCGGAAAATGTCGAGATATCCGAGGTGTCGAGATATCAGAGTTGAAACTCGACGTCCTTAACTACTGTAACAGGTACCTATATGACTTCAATTAGATTGTAACTCGTTTGTTTCAGCTATCCTGCTATATTTATTAGAAAATCTAAGAAAATAATATATTCACAAATGTTATTTATGAAATACTTTCTTTTTTATCAAAATCTCCTCATTTTAATTTACTGAAAATCGTTTTCCATACAGCATTCGATTCGCTTGCCACTAGCTCTGTCAGAACAGGATATGAAATGCGCTCTATATACTCCAGACCGGAACGGTACAAAGTTGACTTCCGAGATACGGGAAAAAATTAATGCGTATATTTTTTTAATTATTTCATTTCAATTCTTTTTCATTTCATAATCATTCATCATTAATTTTCATTTCATTTTCAAACCAAAATTTAATTGGAATTCAATTGCACATTTAACAAACTTAATGATGTTACATATGCATCCATATTACGGCTGATGCAATAGTCGTGCATGACATTGATTTGATTGATTCTTGTTGACTGCATTTTTACCACAATTTTTAAGTTAAATTGAATTCAATGTGTATATTTTTCATTGTTATTCAGTTACTTTTTTTACAAAATGTTTAAGTTTTGTTAGATTTTGACATAAATAAACAGTTGTACATTTACGCAGAATCGAGAAGATTCATCCAAGATATTACCCAAGCTGAACATGAAACAATTAAGGTATAAGTGACGCCGAGGGGGCTTGGGATTCCTCTACAAACACAAAGAGCAGTATGTAGTCAAAACATGGATGTGAAAGGTGTGAATTTCTGACGACGTCGAGATACACGGAGTCGTCCGTGCGTGACGAGCGACCACCTGACAAACAATTAGGTTAAGTAGAGTAGAAAATTGCCCCGATGTCGACATATACCAGGTAAATTTTGCTCTTGGGACTGTGAAATACGTCGAGATAAGCGGGGTAGTCGACATTACCAAGGTTGACATATCAGAGTTTAAATAATGCCTGGACCACGGACGGAATTCAACATATCCCAGGTTGTCGACATATCCGATGTCGAGATACCAAAGTTTACCTGTATTAGTTATATAGCTGTTAGAGAGATTAACAAAAAATATCCCTCGATCTTGATTTAAAAAAAGAAAGACTGGATCCTTAATGATGATGATGAATTACAAGTTAGATATGTAATACTTCATAAATGACACTAAATTTTCATGCAGAATAAAAATACTTTGATTTCATTTCCGCTCAATAAGGAGAAATGTTTGGTATAATTTCAGGGTTTGTTCAAACCCAGCTACTTGTTCTTCTTTATACACCTGGCCCACATCATAGCTATGGAGGTGATGGCCTATCTAACCTTGTATTACTTTGGAACTGGATGGGTACCTTGTATTGTGTCAGTCTGCTTGTATGCAACTGTGCAGGTGAGGTTTTCAAGTTTTACACTCCAGAATGTTTATTAAACTGTAATCGAGAGTTGAATGTTTAAAAAAAAAAAAAATTTCAAAGTCTGATAAAAGTGTACAGCTAATTTAAAAGTATTGTTTACTTTTATAGAATTTGATAAAAAAAAATTATAATGATTATGAAATGAGCATGCATTCAGTTAACTTTATATCATTGAGTATGTTTAAAATATTTGTGTTTTACTCCGTGTACTTAATTTGCCCTGATTTTCAGCCTTAGATTTCCTCTGGAGTTGCTTCTATCTTTTCTGATCACCATATTATGGCAGTAATGATGCCTCTGATTTTCATACACCAGTCCTGTAGAAATATTTAACCTAGAGGACTATAGAGAGCAGTAGAGAGAGTATCAAGCCTGATGAGATTTTTAAATTTTAGCCAGATAGGATAATTGACACTTCTACAACAGAAGAAATTATGTTGATCATGAATTTTGAAATTCAGTTTTCATTGACGGACATTTCACACACTGTTTCCTACATTCTTGTACATTCTTGTCTTTATAAAGTCTAGTGTCATAGTAATTGTGACAGAGTCCTGAGGGAAACACTAACACTAACACATCTGTGTCAGGCTTTACAATGAACTGCAGCTTTGCAATGCTTTTGCAAGGAGACTTTGGAATCTGTAGAGAGGTTGATTATAGACCTATAATTATAAGAGCAGGCCGATGTGAGCTAGGATCAATATCAGGGTGTCGCTATATATTCTCTATAAGTATTGCGTCAAAGCCTGCATCAGAGTATGATGTGCACGCCTTGTTTGTTCTGTGATTAATGTGTTTGTATACGAAAATGTCAATATTGATATAAAGAATATCAGTGTGAAGATATGGAACTATATCACACTTGTTAATGATACACATTATACAATGTTATCTACTATGTAATCAAAGTTGTAGAATGAAAATGATAACTGTTCATTTTATTATAGTAACAAATTTAGTTCATTATTATTTAAAGATTTATCATGTGGAAATAGTGTGACCCTCAGACTAAGTAGCTGGCTTCAGTTCAAAGTATGGACTTGTTAAACCGAATATATGGTATACCTGTCACTGGAAAATGTCAGGATCAATTGAAATATGCTTTAAAATAATTTTTTTTTTTTTGTATGAAATTTTCTGAAGTTTAACAGTCCAGTCCAATACGAAAATTCGTAATATTACGAAAAAACGTAAGATTACGAAAAAGCGTAATATTACAAGTTATCGTAATATAAAACTTATATTACAATTTTTCGTAATGTAGTTAAATTACGAATACGCATAATATAGCAGATTGTAAGAGACTATATTACGAGTTTTCGTAATCCAAGACAAATTCAAGCATTGCAAGAAATTGAGTGGTGGGTAGCAAAGTATGACGTCAGTAATATATCAGATTCCACATCTACTGATAGCACGCGGTCAGTTGGGTCAGTTACGCCTATCAGAAAGCATGGAAATTCAAGAAGAAAGTACCGCCAGTGATTGGTGAGTGGACAATTTCTTTTATTCTTCTTTTATAGGAATTTTCCCAAGGATAAGACCAATTTTCCAGTAAATTTCAATATTCGCTTAAGCATGTCGCATTGGTCTATATCACCCGAACTCCCTACTTTTCTTGCGAAGTCTACCCTAAAAATCACACCCTCGTCTCATAATACAACTCTTCGTGCAATTCTTATTGAAATACACAGAATTCAAATCTCAGTAAGAGTCGTACAAGTTATCGCCCGTGACATCTCGTAGTAAACGTCATACTTTGCTACCCGCCACTCAATTTCTTGCAATGCTTGAATTTGTCTTGGATTACGAAAACTCGTAATATAGTCTCTACAATATGCTATATTACACGTATTCGTAATTTAAGTACATTACGAAAAATTGTAATATAAGTTTTAGATTACGATAACTTGTAATATTACGCTTTCTCGTAATGTTACGTTTTTTTCGTAATATTACGAATTTTCGTATTGGACTGGACTGTTTAAATATTGGCTATCTTGGCCATTAAATATTTGTCTTTATCAATTATAGACTTTATGTATTCCTGACCAACGTCTTTAATTATTTCACTATCTTTTTATTTGCTAAGAGCTCTTATCATTGATATAAATTTCAAATCCCAAGATGTCTTGGAAAATTGTTACTTTTATTCTCATCAGAATTCAAAAATTGAAATTTTACAGACTTCTTTATTTTCTTTCCCATGCAGTCAAAAATCGCAGGTAATACTACAGTGCTGTGTAGGTCGAATTTTCAGAGATGGAATGCTGGCTTCTAATAATCCAAGACAAATTCTTTTTCAAAACACACAAGCAGACAATCACTATTTCTTTGAAATATCAGTGGTGGCCTATGGGCCTGTATCATCAGCAAATTTGTCCCCCAAGTTTAATGTTTTTGAGTCCTAAGCGCTGTTGTTTGTTTTAAAGGCACAGTGTGGGTGGCTACAGCATGATTTTGGCCATTTGTCAGTATTTAAAAATCCCACTGTCGATCATGTGGTCCATTTCTTTACTATGGGATTTACTAAGGTAATTGGTATTGGTGAAAAGAAATGGCTTTGTTCTGGTTATGCATTTGCATCAAAGACAAGAAACTAATGATTTTTCCAGTCTTAATGAGAAAGTCATACATTATTTTGCTTTGCCAAGACAATTTCAGCTTGGACAGAGCATTATTTATAATGGCAGAAATATGGATTTTAAAGACATGATAAAGATTGTCTGTGATGCAGATTGTTAATGATCAGAACAATGTTTTACTTCCTGTTGTCCTCACAGATCAATGGCAGTGTCAGCTAGTCTCCATGACTCACTTCATGTTAACATTGTACAAATATAGCTTTAACTGCTTATAGTGCACGCTGCATCCGTCACTTATAATCTTTGTCTGTATGTGTGTTCACTCGTCATTTTACATCTTATCATTGAGCCATTTTTTCCTACAGGGTTTGTGCCCATAACCTTTGGACTAGTAGAAGCACCACTTGACCTCTAGACTCTGGTGGCTACAGTACTAACCATGTTCTAACCACTGTTTTATTCTTGTGACCCTTTTCTTACAGAGCCAGATTGGATGGTTGCAGCATGACTTTGGACATCTCTCTGTATTTAAATCCAGCTGGCTTGACCATGTTTTTCATTTTTTAACAATAGGATGTATCAAGGTACTTGATAGGATGTGAAAGTTTGCTATCAATCTGAAACTCTATCCTTTTAAAAAAGTATGCAAGGACTAATTAAGCAAATAAAGCCTTTCTCTAGTTGCATTATGTACACAATACCTCTATATGAATGCCACATGCATAATTGATAATCTTTTATGAATGCATTATAGCATTCAAACAAAATTTGAATGAATGTAATTAATTTTCTAGATTATAATATCATGTAGGTATATTGATATGGTTACAGAGTTTGTCCGTGAAAAATTACAAGTATATGTACTAATCAACCATTAAAAGCAAACTATATTTTGGACATTTACTAAAAAAATAAATATTATGAATTAAACAGAAACATACTGGCTTAAAACCGTATAGATATCAATTCCATAGGATTTGTCATTTTATTGCTAGAGTGTAGAGCTAATTAAGCTTTAGCATTAGTGGTGCTCTGGGGACTAAAGAACTAAAAACTATTAATTTCCTGAATTATATTCACAAATTAATGTTTAAGTAATTTGGGTCTAAACAAACTTTTCTGGAAGATAAAAAAATTATATTATTAATAACCATCTTACAAAATATTAATGTTAATCATTCTACCCTAAGGCTTGTTATGAATGTTCTAAATGGTTTTTCAATATTAGCATAATACCGGTAGATTTACAATTGTGTAAGTAAGTACACGTAATTGTATTCCTCAGTATCATCTGTGTGCATGATATGGACATGATATGGATATTTAGGATTTCATCAAAGCACATATTATTATTCCACATGCCCAATTAAAAAGGAAAATATCATGTAATGCACATGTCAGCAAAATATTTCAACAATGTCACAAGTCCTTCTTTGTTTTAACTTCATCTACTTCATTTGGTGTTGTCTGTACAAGTGATTAATATTCAGATGTGAAGTTTTCTTTTAATCAAAAATAATCAAGTGTACTTTAATTAAAAAAACCTTTGAAAAAATAATTTAAAAACTTATTTTTTATTCTTCAGTGTAAAACATGTTTGTCGTGTGAAATGAAAAAATTAAAAATATTTGTCAATGAGTTTCAACAGATTTTTATGAACATACATTATTTTTGTCATTATGGAGTAAATGTTGTCATAGTGATCGAACATATAAATTTATTTTATCTTAACTGTTTCATAAATTTAAAGATGTTTTTGATAAAATAAATGTTCAATTTAATAAAAAAATATTTCACAATTTTATCAAGAATATATATACAGAATTAAATTTAATTATAAATCTCTGGACAGAAAAGAAGATAATTATACTTGCTTCATGATAAAATCCCGTTTGAATTGTATGGTGACTACTGCAGCTGTTGTTTCTTTATAGGGTGCTTCCCCAAGCTGGTGGAACCATATGCATTATCAACACCATGCCAAACCTAATGTGGTAAGACTCCGTGTTTAAAGACTTGTTAAGATACATACAAATAAATTTCGTTTATTTTCTTGTTAACAATTATCAATGAAATGAAATCCCACACAAAATTTTTACATGACTATATATTAAATAGGGTTACTTTCAAAATAATGAAATTAATTAAATTTCCATGAAACTATTTTAGATTATAAATCAAGGAAATATATCCCCTGCAACATTAGGACTTCTATAGTATTCTTTTGTTGTTTATATAGATGGGTAAGGACCCTGATGTCAGAGTCGATCAGTTGTTTGTGGTGGGAGAGAAAATGCCTGTCAAGGTATGCAATATCCTGTGTGTTTCTTGATCTAAACTAAACACATTTTTACAGAAGGTTTAACATAACGACAAAGTCTGCTGTTAAAAATGTTAATGTCCTGATTGATAATTTTGAAGGTTGCTGAATCAAAGAAATCCAGTATGCCCTACAATCTGCAGCACAAGTACTTCTTTCTAAGTAAGTCAACTTCAAGGAGTAAAACAAGATATATTAACCCCCCTTGTTTTAGCTTACCAGAGTATCTTGAATGACTTGATCTCTATTTCTTCTATTTACAGTTGGCCCCCCTCTCCTGTTTCCTGTGTATTTCCAGTTTATGTTGTTTAGACATATTTTCACCAGGAAATTATGGAAGGTAAATCAATAGTCCTGGAATATGTAATAATTTCATTATATTTTATTTTATAAGAGTTTAAGGAACTACTGTAGATCACTAAATTTTTGCGACAGCTTATTTTCGCTAGATAGTCATTGACTCTTGATTAGCGAGATAAAATTTTCATGAATTGTGGTTATTGCTCTATATGATTTAAGGAATGCTATTATACGCGGGAATTAAATTTTCGCAAGCACACTGTCTTGTTTAATTACGCGAAAATAAAGTTCTCGTGAATAAAAAGTGATTTACAGTAAATTTAGATTCAAATTCATTATAATTGATACCATAGAATCACTCAAACTTTTTTTCTCTCAAAACTTGTACTGTGGAATCAGTAAAAATTGTGGAGGCCAGTTTTTGTTTATTGGTTAGAATTTACAGGTTTGTGAGGATGTTATATGTTTTCTCATCCTAAAAAAGGAGAATTGACTTTATTACCTAGGTACCCTAGATATGAATAACTTGTGGATGAGGTACACTACGAACATTGAGCTACCACAAAAATTAATGATTCCACAGTATTTTGTGGATGTCTGAGATAAAGGCATCTATTTATAAATATTGTATTTTACATTCTTTAGGATTTCATAGTGGTCATGGCCTTTTATGTGAAGTTTTTCTACCTGTATACACCACTGCTAGGAGTTGGATGGGTACTTGTTTATTATGAAGTAATGAGGTAAGGTCTAAAAAACAAACGCACCTTTTGTTCTCATTGCTGCAAAAAGTTGTTCAAATAAAATATGGAAATATTTACACTTCATTTCATATAATATTGTATGATAGCGATTAAAATGAAGAAACTGTTATACTTGCTTTTATTTAAAAACCAAAAAAAATTCCATGAAGAAAACTGATATTTGAAATGATTAAGAAATAATGACCACTTCAGAAGCCCTCCATTATAACTGTTTTGTGTATACAGGGTGCTAGAGAGCCATTGGTTTACCTGGGTGAGTCAGTCTAACCACATCCCTATGGACATTGACGAGGACACTGCTGAGCCCTGGATCCGACTCCAGCTGAAGGCCACCTGTGATATCGAGCAGTCCTTCTTCAATGATTGGTTCACGGGCCACCTCAACTTCCAGATAGAACACCAGTAAGACACACATTAAATATACCGTAGATTCCTTATTTTTCAAGAGTACCTATTATTGGTTCCTTGACGTCAAATGGTGAGAATAATAATTTGCAAATGGACAGTTGATCAAAAGAATTTACATGGATTTCAGCACCATAGAAATAAAAGCAAGTAATGTTATTTGTTGAGTGATGCTCCTCACGAAATTACGAGGAAAATTAATCTCTCACATATAATTAGGAATCTACTGTAGATAAGAAAATACGGTGCAAGTTACCTAAATGCATATTTGGCCTTGATCAATACTGTAGACATCTTTATTTTTATTTTAAAAAGAGATGAATTTCCACTTTTCATAATGACATGGGTTCTGACATTTTACTGGCACATCATGTATCAAAATGGTAATCACGTGGAAAATGTAAGATTTTTCGGACTATGGTTTCCCTTATGAAATAGATGACCATGTTGAATCTGCAGTCACAATATCAAAGGTTTCAGCTCAGTGTCGTGAAAACCATTTACTTTACAGACATCAAAATTGGTACGCTCTAAGATGTGAATAGCACCCATATGACATTGTTTCAAAACACCTGTATATTGAAACCCTGTGTATGAAAGTGCATGTGAATGAATTATTTTATGGTATTGAATACACTTAATTTGTTATAAATATTTATAAGCATGTGAGATATACGAGTTAAATGCATAAATGCATGTTGTTTAATTTTAGCCTTTTCCCTACCATGCCAAGACACAACCTATACAAAATCCAACCTCTTGTTCAGTCCCTCTGTAAAAAGCATGGAATTCCGTACCAAATGAAAACCCTCTCTCAGTCCTTTGTTGACATTGTGAAGTAAGTACTGTTAATATGTACATAAAATACTCTTCCTGTTTCATCTTGCATTTATATTACGGTACATTTTGATCTAAATTTCAATGTCTGTGTCATGCAGCTTTAAATGATAATGTTGGTAATGTTAATTTATGATAAATAAATAAAATCATACCATTAAAGAGAAACATGTATTTTCCCCCTATTTTATTTCTCTTATTAATCATATAAATATATTGCAAATGTTTTAAGTTATCTTAGGAAATTCTTTAATTTGCTTTCTTTCACCAGGCAAGCTCAGAGTTATTTGCCCTTGCATTGCACCTTTACTTTTTCTTGTAGATCATTGAAGCATTCTGGAGAACTCTGGGAGGCAACGCTGCACGCTCACCACATATCTTGATTGGAATTATAACTGCTATAAGTGCCTATAACTTTTTAACAAATTCAATATACACTTTTGATAAATGTACCATGCTGTTCCTTGCTTGTTTTCTGGGTTGGTAAAAAGAATTTATCTTAAAGAATATCTGAAAATATTTGTGCTAACACCAACATGGAAAATCAAGGAGTACACAAGAAACAGCGCTATGAGTTCTGTTAGCAATACACCAAATTCCAATGTCTGGATTTTACTGTGCCTAAGAAAAACAGTTTACATTGATTGGAATATGATAATAGCCATTTCTTTGTGTGAGCCTTCTATCTGTTTTGTCATATTTTATTAGTGATTTTTAAAAATTTTTTTCTCTTTTTGTACTTTCTATTGGTGTCTTTAGGTTTTCTCACTTTTGAGTAAAAGAAAATTTTAGATTTTGTATGATGCATAATTATTAAGTATATATTTTGATCTACTGAATAGAAATGCTTTCTATTACACAAATCTGTGTGTGTTTTATTTATTTGTGTACTGAGCACAGCATTATGGTTTGACTACAGCAGAAACAAGTGTGACAGTCAGAAAGGAGGCCAGATAACTCATTCAGTAGAACTGACTGGAGATACAGGGCCTGGCCCTGTCTGGTCTGTTATATTATTCTTTTCTGTTGATTTGGTACTGTGCCAGACCCTGGATGTGACATGTGAAAGATCTGCCAGGGAAAAGCTTTAGTTGGGTGTCTTTGGGGGGGGGGGGGGGGGGTCGAAGACCTTGTGGGAGGGAGGAATGTGGTGGTCAGACAGGTTTGATCACTGGTGTTGGTTTTCCACTGTAGCACCTGCTAAGTGAAAAAAAATGCTGCTTAATGATAGAAATACAGTTGAACTTCGGTATCTCAAACTTCGATATCTCGAATACCATGGAAATGTCGAAGTAATGTGGAAGTCCAACCACATATTCTTTTATTTTTTTCCTCGATATCTCGAATCAAGGGATATCTCAAAGTTTTTTTTCTCAGCCTCATCAGGTTCGAAATAACAACGTTCGACTGTATCATTAAGTGTTACAATGCGTAATGCCATAAATCATTGCTTTAATAGTTGACATTCTCAAAAGCTTATAGATATATATCATTCGTTCATGAAGCAGTGATTTAGCATTAGCAGTTGAGAATGTCACTATTAATGCAATAAGTTATGGCAATAAGCATTGCAATTGCAAAGGTTAATGATATTTCTATCATTAAGGGGTCCAGACCATCTGCTATAAATTTCACTAAGAAAATTGAAAATTTTTAATATTGATTTTCATGAGCAACAATAAAATTAGTAGCAATTGTATAGGAAAATGATACTTAGTATCATACCTATTAAAATCATGTTAGAAAACATCATAAAGCACTGCTTCCTAAGTCAGAATATCACAATGTTGTATGTGGTTAAAAGACAAAAATACATCTGTGAGGAAGAGTTATCTTTCTTCTAAATATTTTTTCATTTGAAAAAATAAATGTATAAATACTTATAAAATTTTGTATTTGGAACATTAAACCATTTTTAAAATGATCCTTAAAAAGATACAACTTATCCAATTGACTACTCTGAGGTTTCAATTTAGGAAACTCGGATGAAGAAAACCATGAGTAGCATTCATATATATTATTTTGTACTTTGAAAGTTATCTCTCTTATCAGAGGTTAGTGGTACCCCTTAAGCAGCGTTTTATCATTTATAATTTAGTGGTTGCCACAGAGCACCTGACTGGAGATTCAGGCACCCTCTGCATTTTTCGCTCACCTCAACAAAGTTAAGGAGCTCAATTGTTATACCCACGGTGTCTGCTTCCTGGGATGATAACTGGGTTAGGGTTTTTGGAGCACTGGTTCATTGTAAAATACACTGCATATAAAAGTCGTATAATGACTAAAATTGCTTTTATGATACAATTAAGGCTTATTTAGGGTGCTGCATTTGATCTATATTTTCTGGTAATAAGGTGAATTTTGTTTTGATCAGGTCTCATTTTCAAGTAACTTTAAGCCCTATGTTGACCAAACTTGCATGATTGATAAAGCTAAGGATTTCAGATGCTGGAGTATTTCAGCTAAAGAATGGGATGCAGTCACCAATGCCAAAACTGAGGGTATTACGTAAGCTATTTGCAGAACTGTCAAAGACTAATACCTGTATATAAAACCATAATGCTAGATCCCATAATGCCAAAAATGTGCAATTTACAGCGCAAGTTTGGGAGAATTTCTCCACTTTCCAACATCTGTAATTCATCTACAATACCTTCCACCCCCTATTTCCAGACACATAACATTCTTAAACCAATCTATATATATTACCTCCTCTCAACCCTTCATAGTCATTTCTACAGGCAATAAACTAGCTTGATTTGAATTGTCTGTCGAGGGATTGCAGAAAATTCCGATTCCAGCGAATTTATTGCTTGTAGAGTCAACTATAAAGGGTGGGAGGTGTATAAAATATACAGATTTATTTTTAAAATGTGTCCAGAGTTATGGAAGGAAAGGTAGATGATTTACCAATGTTGAAAAGTGGATAAATTCTCCCAAACAGTGCCATAAAAATCTTGCACCGTAAATTGCACATTTTTTACATTACAGGATCTGTAGGGCTATGGTCAAAAGACATATATAAAACCATAATGCTACAGTTCTGCAGCTATACATTTAAGCTTCCTTTCTTTGTTGAGGTGAGTTAAAACGTGAACAAAGCCAAATCTTTGATTGCCTTGTGGCCCAACCCATTTCCGAGGGATCATGATTTGAACAAACTTGAATCTACATAATGTCAGGAAGCTTTCACATATTTTAAAAGTTTCATCTTTATACCCCCCGCTTGAAAAGTGGGAGGTATATAGTAATCGGGATTTCCGTCCGTCCGTCTGTACGTCCGTCCATCTGTTACGCTTTTGGGTACCCATCTCTTATCCGCAACTCCTCCTATACCACTGAATGAAATTTGATGAAACTTTCACAGAATCTTTATTACATATTGCCATTGTGCACCTCCTATTTTATTTTTCGATCCGATACATATTTTCGGTTTTCCTTAGCAAACCATGGACACTGCCATTTTATATATATGGGAGGCGGGGGGTATCATTTAGTGAGCTCATTGCTCACAGTACCTCTAGTTTCATATGCAGTGGTTCTTGATAATATTTTTAAATATCAATACACCCATCAAATTTTCACTATTTTCAAGTTATCTCCCCGTTGGAAGAGGGTGTGGGTTTCAACTGTTTGTTTTGCAATAAAGAGGAATATGAATAGCAAGTTGAGTGATACTTTATTTTTAAACTTTACATTTTAACTTGACAATAAAGTATGCAATTCAACAAAGTTAAAATGTTTTCAATGCTAAACTGAAAAATATTGTTAATTAGTAGAGTTTCTCTCCAAGATAAATGATAAATACAAAACAGCATCGATCAGCATTCAGGCTTTCAAATAAAACACAGAATAAAGGTATCAGTACCTAATACATGTAGCATCTTTAAACATTTATTCAAAAATGTACTCAAGGAATACAATTTGAAAAGTACCTTGTATGACTTTCAAGGAAAAAAATCTTAATTATTCTGAAATAAATTGTCCCAGAACCACGGTAAGGTAAATGATTCCCAATTTTCTGATTGAAGGGCAGGCAAGTAGGAGCACAATATTTCACTGAAGCCTGTTTTTGCTCTGAAGACATAGAGTTCATCTAAAATTTTTATCATACAAATCTTCGATTTAAAATATTCTTCACATGCATACTTTTTAAATGCTCACTCGATCAAGTCTCTTATCTACATGTATGATGTTCAAAACTTTATGAACAGTGAGTCTTATAACAATACCGTAAAAAGTACAACTTGCTGAAAATTTATCAAAACTACAGAATACAAAACATATCTACAAAACTATGGACATTTCTCAGACCTCTAATTCATTATTTATGTTATGTGACCTGTTTTTCAAATGCAGTTCAATGATGTCTTTGAATTCAAACCGTCCAAGAAGCTGATATGCAAGGGGAAGTAAATGCTCAATAAGTGGATGTAAAACTTCACCCCCAAATGAGAACAAGTCCATGCCAAGCTCAAGGCCTTCACCATAATCACATTCATCATTTGCAAACTGAACTAAAGTGATGAGTTCCTGGATGGGGTCCATATTCTTGTCTCTTTCTTCCTTGCTTTTGCTCTCAACAACTTTCTTAAACATTTTCTTCAAGTCAGCAGGGGTTTCAGGGACTGGTCGATACCCAACCTCATTTTTGTCTACAGGAACGACTATGCCAGCTCCATGGAATGTTTTACATACAACCTTTTTGTTTCGCTTTTTCATTTCATTACTTTGTAGGTCCAAACAAAGCTTTTTAGACTTGGCAAAGTCAATTAATTGGTTCTGAAAATCTGTTAGTTTTTTCTTTTGGTCATGATTAGCTGATTTCAGTTCTTCATCTATGAGGTTTTTAACAGCACTGAATATGTTCTCTCCTTTTGGGGTAATCTTACAGGATTCTTTTGCCTCATTCACTGCAACAAAAACTGGCATTGCTGATGGTTCATCTCTGAAATATCCAATATGGAACTGTGTATCTTCATCTCCTTTGACAACAGTCATAAATTCTGGTGGATCATAGTAATAGCGGTAATGTAATAGAAACTTTGGTCTTTTCCCTTTCTTGTTTTTGTTGATTCCTTTGTGTTTCCCTGCCAAAATATCATATGGTCCAACCAGTGCCCAGCCCAGCAGAGATTTCATTGCGTTTTCTGGGTGAGATCCAGTCTGCTTTTTGCAAAATTCCCAAAACTGGTAGAAATCTTCAGGCATATCCATGAGGTATTTTTGTTTGATGTTGTCCCTGACATTATCGGGTGAAGGGATGCTTTCCTCTTCACCTTCTTCACTATCAATTCCACTAGAATTGCCAGCTGTTTCACTTGTTGCTTTTTCTTCTTCCTGAGTACCCGGGCTACTTCCCTCTGAGGAGAGAGAGTCGGATCTTTGAACTTTTTTTGTATCAATGTTTTTCGTTTTCTTCAGTTCTGATTCTTTGTCATCCTCGTCAGTCACCCTTTTCCTTTTAACGTTTTCCTGTTCAGACTGCTTTTCATCACTGGGATGACTGTATTCGCGTAAATGCTGAGGATTTCTCCTGTAACATTTCCCTCCATATTTGCACGGCTTCTTGGACGCCATATTCAATGAAAAGTCAAGTTACCCATTTATATGCCTAGATATTCGAGAACCATTATTAAGAGTAAATTATTTCTCTAAAAGTAAATTCGAAAGGACATAATAGACGCAAATGTTAAACATTATTTTTCAATTAATTTTTGATTCCGGAAGCATCAATTTTTGGGAATGTAAAACAAATTTCAGTAGGCCTATTTTGATCGGGCTTGTTTGAATGTCAATTCATGGTTTAAAATATTTTTTTTAATCAGAACGATAATTTTATTATGATTCATCGCACAAGAATGTTTCTTTTATAACAATCAGATATTTATTTTAATTTTTAAAAAGTTTTAAAATAAGCACAAGTAAAAAAATCTAGGGTACAGTATTGATCATTGCGGCAAAGTATGTCTTTTTTCGTTTTTTAGGAGCCGCGAGTATGCATTGACTACTTTGTAAACAGCAGAACACACGTGGAAAAAGTCTTGCCATACACGTTAGTATTTTTCTTCCTTATGAAGATTTGAAATCTACCAAAAAGTTGATATTTAAATTGCTAAAGCTGGTATATTTGAAAAATTCAGTCTGATGTGATATTGGTCTTGGATTTATAAATTCTAACAGAATTTTTTATAGACTCAAAGGTGACTTTAGCATGTTAATGTATGCCTATAGTAAGTTTGTTAATTTGTCCTGAGCATATTTGTCAGGGTCAATTAGTCAGGTCAAAGTATTTAGTAGATCAGGAAAGCTTTTTTCAATTTAAATGTAATTTTTTGAACTCCAAAAGTGCATATGATATATGAGCCCATCTTTTATTTTACGAAGTAAAAAGTCACGTACTGTAGTTTAAAAAAAGATAGAAAATAGTAGGTGTACAACTGCACTATGTAACAAGGTTTTGAGGACCCCACTGGAAATAAGCATATTATGGCTTTCATGGGTCATCCTCGGGTAAATGGCTGTACACAGTACACAAAATATATAGTGCTTTCTTAGTTTCATTTAGATGTTTCTCTTAACTACCTGTCTTTTATAATATAATGCTAGTGTTTCAAGAACATTGTATCTTTTTTTTTTAACTAAATTTTACGAATCCTTTGGATTTCATGTGCCAACTTATGTTTTTATGTGCCAGTCTTATGTTCCATGTGCCATTTTCCTGAATAAACAAACAAACAAACAAAACAAAGATTCTGTGAAAGTCTCATCAAATTTCATTCAATGATATAAGAGGAGTAGCGGATAAGAAATGGGTACCCAAAACGTAATAGACAGACGGACATCCTGATAACTACATGTATTTGTGAAACACTGTGAACCTGGTGGAAACAAAGTTTGAAAAAACTATTTTTAGCATATAGGTCACAGCCAAGGTCACAGGGTCATAGACCTTGGAGTCATTTGAAAGAACTTAATTAGTGTAATATGCATACCAAACATGAAGTCTCCATCTCTTTTGGATCAAAAGTTATGGTGAAGGTTCAAAGAGACTATTTTTAGCATGTAGGTCACAGTCAAGGTCACAAGGTCATTGACCTTATTGCCATTTGAAATAACTTATTTAGTGTAATTAGTGGAGTATGCATATACCAAATATGAAATCTTTATCTCCTAGCTGGTTTAAAAGTTATGGTGAAAGTTCGAAAAAGTTATTTTTAGTCATTGACCTTGGTGTTATTTGAAATAGGTAAATTAGTGGAGAAAGCATACCAGATATCTATCTCTCATGATTCAAAAGTTATGGCAAAGGTTTTTTCAAAGTTGACAACAGACAGAAAAACAGACAGACTGCACAAAAACAATATGCGCCCCGATCTATCGATCCAGGTGCATAATAAGGTACTGTCTTGTTTTTTATTTGTAAAACATGCCTGAGGAAACTCAAAAAAAAAAATGCAAAAAAGCACAATGTCATATCACTCATATTTCATATGTAAATTGTATATGTTGTATATGTGTACAATATTGTATAGAATTATTTTTAAACCCAAGACTTTAGCTCACCTGAGATGACAGCTCAGGTGAGCTTTTCACACACATTTTGTCTCGCATCTGTTGTCTTTGTTCCTTTATCCATCTAACAATCTGAGTGTAAACATTTTTAGCTCACCACAACGAAGTTGGGGGAGCTTATGTAATACCCTTGGCTTCGGCATCGGCGTCCCATGTTAAGGTTATATTTTTTGGAGCAGTTTTCTTTTTAGGTACTTCTATGTCCTAATATATTGATTAGACATACATGGAAGATGTTTCTAGGTTTCTAGTGTGTTTCATTGTACCAGTCAAAGTTTCAGATGCTGCAACTTCAGCAAAGGAATAACCAGGTTAGCCTAATGTTTTTGGAGCAGGTTAACATTTTTGGTGCAGTTTTTGGTGTAGGTCTCATTTCCAAGGAACTATAAGCCCTATGTTGACCAAACTTGCATGGATGATACATCTAAAGATGCATACTACCAGGCTTGCTTTGGATGCTGAATCTGACCTTCATTTTCCACATGAGTGAACAGGTAAATGTTTTTGGTGCAGGTCTCATTCCCGAAGTAACTATGAGACTATAATGACCAAACTTGCATGGATGATACATCTAAGGATGCATACTACCAGACTTGCTTCAGATGCTGAATCTGACCTACCTATTCCAGTTGAGTGAACATGTTAAATTTTTTTGGTGCATGTTTCATTTCAATGATATTATGAGCCCTATAATGACCAAACTTCCATGAATGGTACATCTTAGGATGCATACTACCAGACTTGCTTCGGTTGCTGAATATGACCTACATTTTCCGGATGAGTGAACAGGTTAAAGTTTTTGGTGCAGTTTTCATTTCCAAGTTACTATGAACCCTATAATGACCAAACTTACATGGATGGTACAGTCTTTGAATGTCTGTCAACTTCTTCGGATGCTGAATCTGTACATTTTCAGGATGAGTATAACAGGTTAAAGTTTTTAGTGCAGGATTCATTTTCAAGTTACTATGAGCCCTGCTTGGATGGTACATCTTAGGATGCATACTACCAGACTTGCTTCGGATGCTGAATCTGAGCTACATTTTCTGGTTGAGTGAACAGGTTAATTTTTTTGGTGCAGGATTCATTTCCAAGTAACTGCATGTGAGCGCTTTAATGACCAAACTTGCATGGATGATGCATCTTAAGAAGCACACTACCAGACTTGCTTCAGATGCTGAATCTGACCTACATTTTCTGGATAAAAGAAGAGATTAAATTTTTATGCAGGTTTCCTTTCCAAATAACTATGAGCCCTATGTTGTGCAAACCTGCATGGATGATACAGTTTTACATAGTAATATATGGACTTACTTCTTGCTGAATTCAACATACATTTTCCATATAATGAACCAGGTAAAAGTTATGGGTGCAGGTCTATTACTAAGAAACCATAAGGCTTATATAAACCAAACTTGCACAAATAATGCATCAATGGATGAAAACTCTCAAAATTTGCTTCAGATGCTGGATTTTAATTACGTTTTCATGATGAAGATTGAAGAACTAGCTTGAAGTTTTTATATAGGTCTATTCCAAAGTATCAGATCAAAATTTAAAAAAAAATTGCATTTTTGGATGTACACTCTTTGTTGGGTAATTGTGTGACTTTGCCTTACTTAAAGACAACATTTGTTGAAGTGAGCTCTGTAATCTCTGATTACCTATGTTTATTTCTTGTTAAGAACCATGGGGCCACCAGTTAACATCTTTGGGGTATTTTAAGGGGATTCAAGTTTCCTCAAATGAAGGGAACACTCTCTTTTGATAAAGGAAATGATTGACTTAAGGAATAAAAATTTAATTGCTTCTTTCAGAAATCTTTTTCAAGAACCACTGAGACAAAGAAGTGAAAGTTTCAGTATGTAGTAAAAATTCAAGTATTTTTTAGAACATGATGCTAATTAAAGGTCTAGATTACATGTATATGGAAGCATCCTCAGGTAGTGTATATTTAAGTTTCATTTCATTACCCTTTGGAAATTCAGCAACAAAGAGCAATCAAAGTTTTGCTATACATTGTAATATATAGGAAAATTCTTTAAAAATCTTCTGATAGTTGACAAAGCCATACTTCAGGTTAGTGATTAGCGCGAAATGTCAGGTAGTGTAGATATTTCTTAAATTGTTCTCTCTGTATCTTGAATTGTCTACTTCTTTTAATGTGTAGTGTGTTTTTGTTGATGGATTTAACCTTGAAACTAAGCTTTTATGAGGGCATTGACTTTAACAGAAGGGTTTGCTCCCAGGAGTTTGTAATATAACCTGTATAGTGAAGGCAGAATTAACATTTGTAGATTAATACATGTACAAGTGTAAATTTATAGTTTTTTTCTTAATGAAATAATTTCAGCTGGTACATGGTAAGTATGTTATGTAGTGTTTTCTGTTGTGAATGCAAATTAAGTTGTGTAGTGAAACATTGGCAGAGAACTACAAACAGCTTTATGCAGGAATATTGTGCAGCTGCACCCATTGAGTAGGAAATTGCTAAATATTTTGACATGTCTACAATTACACTTTATTTATACTCCATGCAGGTCAACAACAGTTTCTGTCCAAACAAATGAACAAATTGCTACCAGCTTGTGCATGTACTAAAGTATGAAACAGTAATTTTGAACTGTTGAATTAGACTGTGGACAGGCAAGCAAAATTCCCTGAAAAATAACCGAGGAACTGTCAGATACTAGTATTGTCATTCACTTTCTCTTCATGTATTTTATTTGCAGAATCGGGAAGATGGCGGTGAATGTGGTGGGATTGGTGGTGCTCCTGTTGTTTTACCTGATCATTATAATCGTGGGAATTGTGGCAGCCAGACTGAAGAAGAAGGCCACAGGGACGTCTAGAATGGAGGAGGCCATTGTAGCTGGGAGGGACATTAATGAAATTGTAGGAATATTTACCATGACAGGTATAAAATGATGAACATACCAAACTTATTGATAATTTTTTAAAAAATAAAATACGGGATTTGATCAGGGAAGTCTAATGATGTAAATAGATTGTTTCCAGAAAAAAAACTGCCTAATACTCATGAAGTTGTATTCATGCATTGAGCAGATTCTACTGACATATTATATTTTATTAACAGTAAACTCAATCTTCATGTATGATGTATTCCTTGCTTTAACAGCCACAACAGTTGGGGGAGGGTACATTAATGGAACAGCTGAGTCTATTGCATCATCTGGCATGGTGTGGACACTGGCTCCATTTGGGATCTTCCTGGGACTAATCACAGGTAATTTACTATAACTCATTGCCTTTTAACCATGACTTATTGCTTTAATCTAGTGATCTAAGTTTTTCTGTCTTCATTCTTTTTGTCATTAGTGTGTTAACTTCATGCATTTTCCTCTTCCTTTCAAAAAACACTTGACCATCGTGGTAGCTGAGTAGGTAGAGCCCTCCCTCCATTTTCAGAAGGTCATGAGTTTGAATCTCGGCCATGACTGACTTAAGTTGATAAAAAATAGGTAGGCCTAGCAACTGTTCCTTTGCCACATGCTTGATACATTGGAATGAAAGTTGCGGGTCCTTGGAAAGAGACCTTAAAAACAGAGGCTCTGTGTCACATTCAGACATTGGCACAATAAATATCCCTCACTGCTCAAATGCCGTAAGTGCTGAGTAAAGGTAAAAAATTTAAAGCCCTTCACCGGTATATGGTGACATCTCATTATGATTGAAACATTCTTGAATGGGATATAAACAACACACAATCAAAAATCACTTGAGCTTGATCCTAGTGTGGATTATTGTCATATGATTGGTATAAAGGGGGAATAGTATGGGATCATGTGTATGTAATGGGAAATGAGAAAAATACAGCAAACAAGACCAGGATTTGAAACCCAGACCCCCTGAATCTCCGGTCAAGTGGTCTAACAACTGAACTATCTGGCTATAGTGATTGAATCCATCTGACCACCACATTCCTCCCTCCAGGAGGTGTTTACCCCCTAGGAATCCTATTTTTGCATGGACTCAAGAAGCTAAAAAGTTTGATTTGGAGCCATATAAAAATAGAGAGATATTTACCTTATTTGAGCATTCAGAGCCATGGATATAATGTTTAATAAACATATATGAAATGAGAAAAGTAATAGAAAAAATATGTTGTCATGCACATTTTAAGTCTATCTTTCTTTTAAAAAAATCTGATAGGTGGGATAGTATTTGCTCGTCCAATGCGAGACCATCAATACCTGACCATGCTGGACCCCATCCAGGAGAAATCGGGGGATGTGGTGGTGATTCTGGTGTACCTCGCCACGCTGTGTGGGGATGTGTTCTGGACCGCCTCTATCCTTGTAGCTCTGGGTAAGTAGAATCATGGACACATGCACATATATGTTACAATGTGTGCAGTAATACCTGATATATTTCACTTGATATATTTCACTGTTTTCTTTGCTATATGTATACAAGTTCCAGAAGATAGAAATTTTTTTCCCCAATTTGCACTATGGTATTTGATGATATGGTACATGTATAATAAGTGCCTTTATTGTGTTGCTAGGTACAAGCCTGAGTGTGATAGTGAACATTCCCCTCAGTATAGCCATTCTGAGCTCCTCGGCAGCCACTGTTTGTTACACTATGTTTGGTCAGATGGTCTCTGTAGCCTACACAGACATTGTTCAGCTCATCTTCATCATCATTGGCTTGGTATGTGTATACAAGAAATATAAGGGTCATGTGGTTTAAATCTTCTACTGATTTCAATTGAATTGAAACCAATTTCCTCTTTGTTTATGGTCATAGTTTCTCTGAACATACTGATGTTGCAGTTGTTTTTACCCCAAGTATGCTTTTTTTGTAGGGGTTAAGCTTACCTTTTGTTTTGACCAATGAAAATGTAGGAAGCATCACTGATACTACAGACACTTGGATTGGACAGTTTGATGTTGGTATGACCAGTCCTTGGATTGATTTATTCATTGCCATGGTAACTCTTTATTTTATCACATGTCACTTATGGATACATGAATGTATTTTTGCAGGCAAATTGAAATGAAATCATTCAGAGAGATGCTCTTGTTTGATTTATTCACATTTTGTGAATACTGCAAGAAAAAATATTGGGAACTTTTTATTGATTCAGTAAATTAAAGCAAAAGGCTTATTTGAATCATTTGTATGATACCTTTATATGTATGTAAAATGTATTTAAATAAACTTTACTAGGGTATTTATTTGATACTGGTTAAGAAATGGGTTTTAGATCTATGATCTATTGGTATATCAAATTATCAATTACATCTGAAGACAGATATAAACATAAATTATAGAATTTCAAACTAAATGCATAATTATCTATATTTCAAGTGGGACTGTAGACTTTGCATGGACACACATAATGTTAATAGACTGTAGAGTCCTTAGTTACTTATGTGATGTCAGCAATTTCGAGAAGGTAAAGTATACAAATTTCACTGAGAAAACAAAATTAATAACAGGTTTCTATATAATATTTCCAGATTTAAATGCTTTTATTTTTTGTTAGATTTTTGGCACCATTCCGTGGCAGGCCTACTTCCAGCGTGTCCTGTCTGTCCGCAGTGGTAGACAAGCTCAGATTCTCTCTGTAGCTGGTGCCTTCAGTGCTGTTGTCCTAGCGATTCCATCTGTACTCATAGGGGCAGTGGCAACCAGTGCAGGTAGGTCACTAGTCTGGAATATCTCAAGTTTTCCTAATTTTTTTTTTTTTTACGATTTTGATATTTTGCATGCCAGGAAAATGTCAGAACAGGCACTTTTACGAAAACTGGAAAATTGCCACCTCGAACCAGAGGTGGCATTCTCAAGTGGCATTCTCAAGTTGATATTAGATACTTGTAATCCTGAACCGAATTAAATTTCAAAGTCACAAGTTATCAATAGTACAATACTTTTAGTACTTACCAAAATCATTTTATGGTTCATTTAAAAAATATATCCTTTGAAAAAGATCATCACAGTGTCGAAATTTGTCTTCATTTCAAGCATTTTAAAATCTTGCAAGTCCTGTAATGAAATGTGAAATGTATTTTCTTTTTATTGATATTGGTGAGTACTAAAGGGATTGTTCTTTTGATAAATTCTGATTTGAGCATTTAGTTCACTTTGCTAGTATTAAAAATGAACTTTGATTAGATGGCCAAATTTCAAGTTTTTCATAATGGCGCCGGTTCTGACATTTTCCTGGCATGTAAAATATCAAAATCACAAGAAAAAGCCTGGAAAACGTAAGATATTTTGGACTAATAGGTCACAAGATAGAAGTAAAGAAAAGTGAAGACAAAGACATGTAAATTGTATTTCATTCTAGGTTTTCACACTGTAGTACTCTAAAAATCATAATAAATGTTTATCGAATGTCACATGGACTACCATATATTTAAAATTCTATTCATTTGTAGATTGGAACAACACTAGTCTAGGAGCCTCTCCCATGATGCTGAACCAATCAAGCATGACACTGCCATATGTTCTGCATGAGTTCACACCAAGATGGGTGGCTGTTCTAGGTATAGTTGCCTCTTAAACAGGAAACAAGGCTCTGAGATCTATTGTAATTTTACTATTTAGCCGATTTTACAATTTTTTTTTTGATTTCCAGGTTTGGGAGCTATCTCAGCTGCTGTCATGTCCTCCATGGATAGCTCTATCCTGGGCTCTAGTTCTATGTTTACTAACAACATCTATAAAAGAATAATCAGGAAAAAGGTCAGATCTCATGAGGGAATTATTATGAACAGTCAATGCACAATGTATTCCAAATTCTTATTTTACAAGTATTTTGAATGGTGTGAGCATGGAGTTATGTCCCTTCAACTGTATTTATATATTGTATATATGAATTTCTTACTGTATACAATACCTCTGTTGTGTTGTAGGCCCAGGACACAGAGACACTGTGGGTACAGACAATCGCCATCTTCTGTGTAGGATCTCTGGCTACACTGGTGTCTCTGTTTGTTCCCATTGTGTACGGATTATTCGTCCTGGCAGCAGACATTGTTTTTGTGATTGTCCTACCTCAGCTGTTCTGTGCTGTTTTCATTAAGTGGACCAATGTCTATGGCTCCATTACAGGGTTCCTGATAGGAACTATTCTTAGAATGGGAGCAGGGGAAGTCCTGTTAGACTGGCAGCCATTTATAGAGTACCCCTTCTACAGTGTGAACTCAGGACAACAGTTTCCATTTAGAACATTCGCCATGATTGTTTCATTGATTACTGTTGTAATAGTGTCTTTGTTAGCAGATCTTAGTAGAAAGTATTTATGTAAGAAATCTCAGGAGAACAAGTACACATTACAGGTGGGAGGGGAAGTTAACTCACAAACTCAACACATAGGAGGGAGTTGTACCTCCAGTCACCCACTCATATCGTTACCCAGTTGAGTGTACTCCGCACCTGAGTGTTCTCAGTTGATAAGAATGGTTACCAGTATTGTGGTAAAGATACAGTAGTCTTGATACGTCTGAGACTCTATAAAAAATTGGGAAACTCCGAAAGCCCAGCATCCAGATCCCCAGGGGTAGGGCGAGGCCACAATAGGGGATCGAAGTTTTACATAGAAATATATAGAACAAATCTTTAAAAATCTTCTTTTCAAGAACCACTTGGCCAGGAAAGCTGAAACTTATATGGAAGCATCCTGGGGTAGTGTAGATTCTAAAGTTTAAAAATCATAAAAGGGAAGGGGGTAGTGGGGCATGATAGGTATAGCAAGAGGGGGAATCTGGTAAAGAACTGCATCACCCAAGTTACTCAGTTGAGCGATGTGGCCCATGGACCTCTTGTATGTTATGGGATAGTTTGATTAACCCACAGCATTTATACCGGGGTATTTACTACAGTACATAGGAAGACTTGTTTAGTGTCCTGATTTGTTTTGTTTCATACCCCCAGGACAATATTACAATCATGTTGGGATATCAGCAGTTACCTTGGAAATCTAAATAAAAATTAGACCTGTATGTTACATTTATTTATATTCTTTTTCTTGCTAACATCTACTGCAACATTTAATTTATGTGGTCTTATTTAAAGGATGACCCAACTTTCAGATCAATGAAACCAAAGACGCTCATTCATAATGAAAAGGTAGATTTTGACGTCTCTAAAGACCTTCTACCAAGGTCATTTGGATGAGGTCAAGATCACTCGACAGAAATCAACACTGAAATAGAGAAACACAAATATGAAAGCTTGTACTTGAAATATCTTGACTCTTACCCGAGAAAATTTGAATCAAGTCTAGATCAAAGGTTTTAGAAGTCTAAAATTCTTGCCTAGATCTTAACTCTGTAGCAGAAAACATGATTAAACAAGACAGGTAGTTGCACTTGACCAGAGGGTATGTAACAACCTTGCAATGTTAGTCCTAGTCACTGGTTTTACAGTGTATAACCCTTGCATATCCGTAATGTATTTATATCTTGACATATTATACTTAATCTAATTGTTGATAATTCTAATATAGGATATGGTTGATGTGGTTGTGAACAAAATATCATTTAGACAAGTTCAAGGTTAAGGTTAGATAACTTACGACAGCATGTACAATTTGTGATTACTTTAGATAGATAATGGAGGCTTAGATTCTGTGCCTGGTTATTACAGGTACAGTAGAGTACATGTATTTTTATTGTGTTTACAACAATGTGTTCTGTTCATTGCATTTGGTTATAATCCAACTATTTTTGTTTTTTAGCAGCACGTGAAAGCAATTGTACATGCTTTTATGTTATGATGTAATGTCAACTGTGAAAACTATCAGTTAGACATAAGGTACAAGTAACTTGTATATTAAAAAATACTGTACATATGAGGAAGTATTCAGTTTTGTTATTTTTATTGTTTCTCAGTGTCACATGATTTCTAGCATTTACTACACGTATGTTGTAAAAAAAAATAATTTAACTAAGAATTTTAGCATTAAGTTATACATAATTGCAGTCAGAAAAAAAAACATTGGGCAGAGAATACATTTATACATTGTGATTGGCTGAAATGACTGCTTTTTTCCTTATGATTCTCATAATGCAAGCATATTGCTCCACTTGAGGAATGATTTGATCATTTATATATCAGTGAACTTTTCATTTGACATCCGTCATAAAAGCCAGTAAATCAATGATAAATAAATATAAGAATATATCATTAAGTGTTCCAGCTTTTGCACATTATTTTTTTTTTATTTTGAATCATTTTATGGGGCATTAATTTTTTTATTTGTTATGCCTAGTTCCAATTATGATTATTATAATATTTTATGGAATAAAATTATTTTTTAAAGGACCTAGCTAGTCTCCTAATGCATTTTTAAAAGTAAACATGTATAGGCTCATATATTGGCTTGTACAATTCATGGGACATTTGTCCTGTTTTTAAAAATTTATTTGTTATAATGTTTTATTTATAATGTGGATTTTTGCAATAAAATCATGAAATGATGACAGTTTTGCAGTTCTATTATTGCAAGGAATAACACAATTTGACAAGACAACAAATAAATTAGATGTACTGTAATCCTTGAGCTCACAAAATGATACCTTCCCCATAATTATTATGGCATTGATCATATTTTGTTATGGGAGACCAGAAGTAAGTGTAGGATCAAAAAGTAAAATAGAAGGTGAACAATAGCACAAAGTAACAAAGAATCTGTGTGTGAAAGAATCATTAGATTTTATTCAGTGGTATAGAAGGAGCTTCAAATAAGAAGTGGGTACCCTTCAGTAAACTGGAAAGAGTGGTGTCAGAGACATCAACACTTTGCAGTTTTTTAATTTAATTAATTAAAAAACTTTGCCATTTCAAAATTCAATTAATTACTATTGATTCTCAATCATGTAAAATAAAGTTGAGCAATTTTCTTAATGCTTATTTTGATGTGCAGAAAGAAAAAGGACATCTCATGAGAGAATACTTATTTGTTTTGCATATAAATTGGTAATGCAAATGCACTTGCATCATTCTTCTTAATATATTTAAACATGGTAATGTTTGGTATTATGTAAGATTTGGAATTGAATAAAGAAATTGAACTAAAGACCCCCTTTGACATATTCTAGTTGGAACATTTTCATAAATTATAAAACCTGGTATGACTTGGATTTAATGTTGCCTATCTTAATGTTATCTTTGAATTTCTGTCCTGAACTAACAAAGTCATTGGGCCAAAACCAGATGACTTCATTATACCCCTCTTTATCTACAACATATCTTGAAAACATTTATGCCATACTCAGATCTTCTAAGATTATAAAAAACAATGTTCTACTAATGCCTTATTTGGTCACATTTTGATATATATACTGTCTGCTCTGCTTTTTAATTAAGTTTTCAGTAAATTGTTGATAGAGGCTCTTAAGGAGAAGTCTGAAATAAACTATCTATATTGGATTCAAACTTCATAAAATTCTTACAAACAAAGATACATAGCGGGTCCAGAAAATGTTCAACCTAGCCTCTTTCTTTACTCCTCACTAAGATATTAAAGAAGCTATAAATACTAACAGAAACTGCTTTTTGAACATCGAGAAAAATATATCATATAAAGATGTGCATATTGAGACTTTCATTCATTTATAACATAGGGTACCTGCCTTATTTCCGCAGGAAAATGTTCAAAGACAAGGGAGTATTTATAGCGGAAATCACTGCTGTTTACTTACATTGGGAAAATTAATGAAAATAATGAATTAAATTACTTAAGAAATAAGGTATCATTTTTTGAGTTTTATTGGGATGTAAACGGGTTGGTCACGTGATCAAATTCCATAAAGCCCGAAGGGTTTTATTGAAGATATGATCATGTGCCAACCTGTTTTACATCCCAATAAAACTCAAAAAAATGATACCTTATTACTTATATTTACATTTGTGACTTATTCATGCTTTAAATTTGCTTGATTGTGACTTTAAGATGTGAAATGCATAATTTTTCAAACCAACGGCATGTATGTAATCCACTGAACGCGCGTCGACCCTTTATGACGTCACTGAGAAATTACGTCGAACGTTTATCCATACGCACATCTCTGACCTCTTGACCCCGTACCTGTATTTATACAGTTATAAAAACGCTTGCTTTTAGTAGTGTTATTATAAGGAAAACATTTGCAAATGTAAATATTTATTTTTGATCTTATATAATGCTGAAAATAGTTTAATCTATTACAAATTTTGTTATTAATTGTGAATAACATTTTTTAAATATAACTGCATGAAACTACCCTAGAAGTAACGCTCTTTAGTGTGGTGTGGTGTGTTTAGAGCTATATATATATATATATATATATATATATATATATATATATATATATATATATATATATATATATATATATATATATATATATATATATATATATATATATATACACACACACAATTTATCCTTACGACTTTTCAACTTTATACACAACCATTCCCCACGACAAATTTTGATATCATTGACATCTGCTTTTTCAATAAAAATAGAACTTGAGTTTCTGATTGACAACATCTATGTGGTTTTTGGAAACCAGGTCTTCCAATAATCTATTGAAATTCCCATGGGTACCAATTGCGCCCTGTTATTAGCAGCCCTAATTTTGTACTCATATGAAGCAGAATTTGTCCAAAATCTTATACGTGAAAAGAAGAAAACACTTGTTGTGTCCTTCAACCCCACATTTAGATATATTGACGACGTATTGTCAATAAACAATGGTAATTTCAATTCTTATGTCGATACGAAGTATCTTGGTGAGCTTGAGATAAAAGATACCACAGAGTCTGACACATCTGTTTCAAATTTGGATATTGTCCTTGACAAAGACGTCAGTGGTAATCTACATGTAACAACCAAGCTCTATGATAAACGTGATGACTTTAGCTTTTCAATCGTCAACTTCCCTTACATAAGAAGCAATAAATCTTCATCACCTGCATACGGAGTTTTTATGTCACAGATGATTCGATATGCATGAGCATGTTCTCCATATGAACAATTTCTAAAACGAGGTAAATTACTGACAAACAACTTGATGAAACAAGAATATCAGCAGTCTCGTTTTAAGTCATCATTTCGTAAGTTGTATGGTCGATACAAGGACCTTGTCAGCAAATACAATTTATCATTGAGTCAAATTCTGATTGACGTTTTTCATACTGATTTTTTATTCATTTATTTACGAGGGCTGTTCAATAAATAATGTCCTGAACTGTAATGACATACAATACAGATATCATATGACATTAAACTTGACTTTCTCTCATTATTGAATCTTTACTAAATTTATACCAGTTTATGTGACCACTTTTCATCTCATAGTTTCATCGTGAGCAGGCGCGGATCCAGGATTTGGAGTTAGGGGGGGCGCCAAAATTAGGCAAGGGGTCTGGGGGCCGCCTTGAGGCCCCCAGTGGGTCCAGGGCAAAGCCCTGGTGGGGGCCCAGGGGCCCCCGGAAGCTCCTGGATTCTAGAGATTTTGAAGGGTTAAAATGAGGTCTACCAAAGCCCTGGTGGGGGCCCAG